CTCGCTAAAACTCGAGAACGGCTGTACCGATTTGGCTAATTTTGGTCTTGAATTATTCGTGGAAGTCCAGAGAAGGTTTAAAAGGTGAAAAAAATATGAAAATGCTCGGAATTAAATAAAAACAAACAATTTTGTTTTTCGTTTGATGTGTCCACCGTCGGATGGATTGTTTAAAGTTTATTTTATACAAAAGTTTAGGTCTTTTATTTATCGATTGAGGCACTACGAAGTCTGCCGGGTCAGCTAGAGTTTAATAAAATGAATATTGTTTTCATTTTACGTCAATGCCGTCTCGACTTCAGGAGCGAACTCAACACATCCAATACAGTCAAAAGTCTAGTCATCGAATAGTCTAAAGTTTACTGAATAATCTAAACACATTCTCAAAAGATAGGTATTGCGAACCGGAAACTATGTGAACTAGACATGAACTCTTTTTATGTTCTAAAAGGTATCATATTCTTTTTTATTCTGACTAGACCACGACCTGACCATTTATTCGGAGTTTACCTTCCTCCTCTTCGATTAATATCATCTTAATAATATAGGTTATTTAATTTACAGTTAAATAATTTCGTTATGTAAGGCTTGGTACGTCAGAGATGCTATGTTTTTTTTAAAATTGATTTGAGTACAATTTAAGATGGGCTGTAGAGTCCTATTCCCGTGTTCGTAATACGGAAGAAAAAAAAGAAACAAAATATGACACATAAATGACATTAAACCGTAAAAGTGTTTTAGCCACAAGGTTGCAAAGGTTGTATTCCGACAAATATATTAATTGTATAATCACGACTATAATTCCGACTAATACATTATCCTAGTCTGGCGTGCTAATTAATGCGTGTTATTAAAATTATTTTACCCGATTAGTCTCACTGTAAATTTAAATACACGTAATTTGGTGTTATTGTTCGTTTTATTTTTATCGTAATCAGTAATGTAATTAAAATAATATATTCATCAACGTGAGTAATTAAAACTAATATAAATTAACAAAGTTAGTCTTTTTTAGTTTTTTGTATTCTATTTTTATACCACATATTTTTGTAGCAATCATTATTATTGTTTTGTATAACATATTATTGATGCTCTCAAAAGAAAACAAATAAAAGACTGATACAATCGACTTTTTTGTTTGGATATGACAATTTTTTTCCCTACCTATTCGATGGTAGCCTAAGGGGCTATTCCAGCTAACAGTCTCAACCTGAGAGAATTTGCTGACAAAAGCCCTAACAAGAGTAATGCTTCGCCGAATCTACCATCGGATCGGAATCGCGACCAACTGAGATGATCCGAAGGGAAATTAAGTTGGTTGTGTCTATGGATTAGTTTGCTCGTTGAACTCTTGCTCGACGATGCAGATGACTTGTGCTTGAAGAGCTTAAAAGCACCGAGAGTGGATCCGGGGGATCCGACAAGACGTGTTTCGCGTGATGGCGGCTTTGCGTTGCCCCTTCGCCTGGATCGGATATGTTACAAATATGTATTAAATAACGTTTTTTTATTTTATTGCTTAGATACATGGATGAGCTCACAGCCCACCTGGTGATAAGTGGTTACTGGAGCCCTTAGACATCTACAACCTATCTTGAGATATAAGTTCTAAGACCTCAGTATAGTTACAACGGCTGCCCCACCCTTCATTCCGAAACGGATTACTGCTTCAAGGCAGAAATAGGCAGGGTGGTAGTACCTACCCGCGCGGACTCATCAAAGGTCCTACCATCAGTAAAATTGTAGTGTTATTTAAGTTTCTATATATTATTGAATCTTGATTTTCGTCAACAAATATTTTTATTTTTAAAGTCTCGGGTCATTTGTTTACAATTACAAAGAGCCACAAAATTCCGGTTTATAAAGCTTTTATTAGTTGTTGCATTCTTTTTTTCCAGTTCATTATGTGATCGTCACTAAAAGCGACGCAGGTCCCAATGATTGATCGATAATTTAATTAAGAAATAAGTAAAAGGCATGTTAATTTTAATATAGATTTACGCTCACAAAAAACCCTTCCATTTGATTAATGTCTGTAATATATCTATTGCGTTTATTGTGATCTTATTTCATCTTTGTCGATATTCGACACGAAGCGTTTTAGGAGTCAGCTTATGTGTAGTTTTTAAAATTACATTTTGTTTGCGCTAATTTGTTGTTGTTGATGGTTCTTGCTTCGTTAATACAAATAATAAGGTGTAAACGATAAAGACAATAAAACCTATAGTTTAGATAATAAACATAAAAAAAAAAACAATTAATTAATAGCAAGTCAAACCAAAAATTGTTTAAATTATTTTTCATTAGGATATTAGGCCTAAATTAGTGTCATCGATCCTTGACACGTTTTTAAATCTTTATTCAAGTTAATCGAACGTCTTGCTGTTTGTGTAAATTCCGGGTGAACTTACGTGTTTATACGTGTACATGTATATGTATTACTGGTGGCAGGTCCTCTTGTGAGTCCGCTCGGGTAGGTACTACCACCCTGTCTATTTCTGCCGTGAACCAGCAAGTGTGGAGCAGCCATTGTAACTATACTGAGACATTAGAACTTATATCTCAAGGTGGGTGGCGCATTTACGTTGCAGATGTCTATGGGTTTCAGTAACCACTTAGCACCAGGTGGGATGTGAGCTCGTCCATCCATTTAAGCAACAACAAAAAACTTATTGGTAGCGAAAAGATTTATAAAAGTACTAGTAAATATTCTTGGATTAACCTGCTCCCCGTTACTAGATCTTCAAACTTATCCAGTCGATTTGATACTACCACTAAATATCTAGGTTATTGGAGAGTAGAATTTTTAAATTAAGACGCAAAAGATTAATGTGATGTTTTGCAAGATTCTATGACTGTTCCATCATGCCGGTTTCTTCGTGTAGCAGCAACCGAATGATGTGGTTACAACGTAAATGCCGCCCCCAACCTCAAGACATGAGTTCTAAGGTCTCAGTTTTTACAGTACAACGGCTGCCCCACTTTTCAAACCGAAACGCATTACTGTTTCACAGCAGAAATAGGCAGGGTGGTGGTAGGTACCCGTGCGGACTCACAAGAGGACCTACTTACTACCAGTAATTACGCAAAGAAAGTGGCAAGAAATTTACGACACGAAACCCAAGCGGTTTATTAATAGAAAAACAACGAAATCTTAAGTATAAATATCAGCCGTATAGGCTGTTTGTAATTGTTATGGACAAGAAACACTAATTTAATTCAGTTCGTAATTAAACTTGAGAAACTTGATTTTTTTTATAAAATAATTAACTTTTTTTTGAGTACTAACAATGCGTAGGAAAATAATTGGAATAAAGACGAGTCACTTTAGATAGTAACACAATTTTCAGGGTTAATAAGAATTGAGTAAAAAATAATAATAATTATTATAATAAGCGTTTTTTTCATGTTTTTAGGATATACTCTTTTTTATGATTTATGCGGATGGGTTAGTACACAGATAACCCCCCCAATGATACCGCATTATTCAACATTTGTTTCAATTCGACTTCACCAAATTTTGAGGTAAGCATGAGTGGCGGGGGACGTGTCAAGTGTGCTGTGATTGGATATTTCAAAGACAAACTTTTAATGCATCAAACCATAGTGATGGGACAGATTTAAAATTGTTGATCGTTAATTTTGGTAGGATGATCTGGATCATAGATATTTTAATTTTATTATTAGTTATAAATAAAAAATAAATTAATGCTAAATTATCCAATATTTATTAAAAATAAATAAAAAAGAATCTAAGTATATTTCATTGATTTTTAAAATGAATCAGTTTAGTAAAATTCGTCTTACAGAATTCTTAGGGGTTAGTAACACTGTCCTGTCTATTTTAGGCCAAAGGTCAACATTCTTTTCTTGTTGTTCCTATATAATTAAGAATTCGAACTCGTGTTTGGATACTTTTTTTTTCTACCTATGCTGATAGCCTTCAGGGGCTAATTCAGCTTCTTCTTGACGTGTAGGTGAGCTCACGGTGCTCAAGCCGGAGTGTTGCTAGCACTGGCCCTAGGAAGAGCAGTGCTTCGCAGAATCTACCACCAGACCGAAAACGCAATAAATAAATATTTTATTTACTCTTATCAATTTTAATAGAGAGACAGTCGGCACTCTTACCAGACTGATCAATAACAGTATTCACTGAAAAAATCAATATAACTACGACAAATTGAATTGGATCACGTTATTTCTGATCTTTCCACGTGTTGTTTTAACGACAAATGTATATCTTAAGAGGGTTGGCGAGCAAGTACTTTTGGAATAGCTGGACCCTATAGCATTCAGCTTGTTAATGCTGTTTAGGTCTTTCTTCTTTCTCTTGTGAGTCCGCACGGGTAGCACCACCCCGCCTCTTTCTGCTGTGAAGCAGTAATGCGTTTCAGTTTCAAGGGCGGGGCAGCCGTTGTAACTATACTTGAGACCTTAGAACTTATATCTCAGGGTGGGTGGCGCATTTACGTTGTAGATGTCTATGGGCTCCAGTAACCACTTAACACCAGGTGGGCTGCGAGCACTTCCACTCATATAAGCAACAAAAAAAAGGTCTCGAGGCTGCCAAGCCCTCGGATGTCCAGAACGTTGTTGGAATAAATCAAATTATCTCATACAATCTCCAAATTTCAAGTCAGCTCACGCTGTTGCTTGGTTTTTGCGAGAGGAAAGCCCACTGAGTTTCTCGCCGGATCTTCTCAGTGGGTCGCGTTTCCGATCTAGTCGTAGATTCTGCGAAGCACGACTCTTGCTAGGGTTCGTGTTAGCAACGTCGTCAGGTTTGAGCCACGTGAGCTCACCTACTAGTTAGGGTTACGCTGAAATAGGCTCTCAAAGCTCTCAGCTTAGGTAGGAAAAAGAAAAAGAAAAAAAAGCGAGAGGAACCCAATTTATTATAATGTTTTCCGTAGTTTTTTTGATGTCCACCACGCGAGAGAATCATCACCTTGAATACGCGCAGACAGGACGTAGGCTGAGTATAAAGCTACTATAGATCCTCGCGTCACAGCAGTTCCTCGCAGTCTGCACCGCTGTTTACTACAACGGACCACGAAGATGTTTTCTCTTCAAAAATTTTTGTTACCATCCTTTCTCGTATTATGTGTGGTCGGGAGCGGTCACTCGAAGAAACAGATTCGTAAGTTCTTTTTTTTTATACGTTAGTCGAATAGTGATTTTGTATGTTGCTCAAATTTAATAGTGTATTTTGACGTAAAAATATTTAATATCTCACTTGTCCTATTTTTGTATAATTAAGTTCAATAGTTTATAAAAAATAATAATATTAAGTTATGTGTTCTTCAATGAGTGTATTTTTAATACGTATATACGAAATTCAATCAAAATTATTGACGCGTTAAAATTTCGATTCCTTTTTAATTTTAACATTGTCTGGTTCTATTTTGTTATTCATATTCTTTATTGATAACATTAGAGCTCCGCAATAGCTATTGCACAAAAATAGAAAATCTATTTAAAAAGGAAGCAGAAGAATGGTAATAGTTTTTTTTGCGTATTAATGTCAAGATTACTATTACATGAACAAAATGATCAAACATATGGATAGTATGTACCTACATTTCTGTGTATAATTTTACTTGACGAAAAACAATATAATATTGTTTTTAAATAAATGCGCTACATTTAACTTTTTAATGCTGCGTTTATAATTATTGACGAAATAAATCGGGTATTTTTCTTCTTCTTCTTCTCTTTCTTGTTCTCTGGAAGCGCCGGAGTCCGACATAACCCTGTCTGTTACCTCCCTCGACCGTGTATCCGTAAATGGATGCCCCAGCGTTCCAAAAAAAGTTTATTGTGTTAGGAACTTAATCAATGTTTTTAAAAAAAAACGGTCTACAATGTGTGAACAGAACACAAGCACTTCTCCTAAATATGTAACATCAATCGATTGATAAGTCTGTTAAATATCAAAAAGTCGTATTGCCTTGTTAATAATGTCTTGAAAGTAATCACTATAATGTTACAGTTAATCTAAATCAGAGTTCCCCAAACTTTTTTGTGTCGTAGACCCCTTGCCATGTTTTTCCGTGTTGGGTAGACCCCCTACTTACCTGATATTGATTTCCTGTAAATTTCTAACTGTAGTAAAGTTTAGTGTTAAAAACTTAAAGTAAAAACACGTGTTAATTTATACATTTATTAATTGAATTTAAATTAAAACTACTCAAAATAAAATTTTGTATCTGTTATGTAAAATATACGTAACATAAAATAAACTATTAATAAAATAACATAAGCAATAAGTCAATATTTTTGTGAGAAGGATGAACCTGATGCCTTAATAATAAATTATCAACATTTGGCGTCAATTTTGTAAGGGTTAATCTTAATTCTCCTCGGATAATGATGTCTTGATATTATAAGATAGTATGATGTAAGTAAATAGGTACTATCAGTGTATGTGTTGAGATCCACTATCGTGGGCCCCCAAATTTTTTTTCGCTGACATAGACCCCTTGCATGTTGTCATAGACTCCTAGGGGTCGATATAGATCACTTTGGGAATCACTGATCTAAATTAATCATGCTTAGACGCCAAGAAAATATTGTAACGCAAACTATTATTGTATTACATATAACATATATTTTATTGGTAAATATGTGGTTTTTGGTTTGTAAAATATGTATGTATTTGTAAAAATATTGTTGTCCTTAATAAATTGATCGTCTCTTTTAATTGACTTAAAAAAAGAGGAGATTCTCAATTCGCCTGTGTCTTTCTTATAAGCGTGTTTTGATGATTTTTTTTTTATTTGAAAGCTGGTACTTCTGTTTTTTGCCAGCGACCATTTAAATTTTATTAAGATCTGACAATTAGTTTGTGAGTTACCCTTAATAATGCACTGCGTAATTGACTTTGACTACATTCATTATAGTCTAATTTTATTTTGTAGAAATCGATTTTCCTTTTTGTTCGATATCTTTTTGTTGGTACACAAATAGATAAAAAAAGAAGTTAATGACTGTTTCGAATTAAATAACTTACAGGTTATGATATAAATTCATTTTGTTTTTATCGAACACTTAGACACACATTTAGACTTGTTTTTTTTTATTTTTGTTTATGAGTGGATTAATTTACGACTCTGGTTTTTCATAATCGGAGTCCGTAGTCATCACAGTCTGAATAGGGTAATTTAAATCCCTGAGATATCAAGATATATGCAATATATTGATGTATATCAATTATAATGCATACCGACTAGGCGGCTGTTCCATTCTTCGTACCGAAAATCGATGAACCGTAATCGTGGTATATATGCGGACTCAAAATTTACCACCATAATTGTTTATTTTTTAATTCTGGCTCACGGACTTCCATTAGAACGAAGATAGTGTCTCCAAGAATAATTTAGGTCATGTCATTGGCGTTTTAATGAATTTAACTCTAGCTTTAATTTAAGACAAATGAGTCGTCTATTATCAAAGGTGGCAATCTGTGCATTTGGACAAAAAAAATTTATTGATATGTCAATTCAGATTGATTTGAATATAATCGTCTCCTTCAAAGAATACGGTTCAAAACCTGCATTAAATAAAGGTTAATAGTTAGCCTGTTATTTATCTAAGATGTCGTTCCGAAGAGTTTTGTGACTGCCAATGGAATACAAAGTCAATAATTCGTTTTTCTGATTTACCAATCATTGTCCAAAAGTCAGACTGCCGGCTTTGATAATAGTCGACTCAAATATTATCTTCAACATTCTGATTAAAATTATTAATAGACTGCATTATACAGAAAATATAATAATTAGCGACACATTGATTAAAATTATTAATTTATTAATAGACTGCATTATACAGATAAATAATTAGCGACACATTTAAACTACCTGTGCGTGTATTTGTTGTTTTTGTTTGTTTGTTTTAATTTACATAATTTAATTAGTAGTGATGACGTATTTTGTTGTTGTTGAACAAAAAGTTGTTCCGTGGAAAGTACCCGAATTAGATTTTTCTTTACTAGGAAGTTAAAACTGGTGACGCAGTAATATAATATTTAATTAAAACTGTTTTTAAGGTTTAATCTTTTGTTTATTATTTACTGTTGTTTTAAATATTTTATTGTTTTCGTAGTGGTAGAGAATATTTGATGATTTTTGAATCGATATTATATTATTATATTATATTGACGACAGTTAGTGCAATTTTAATATTTGACAGTCACGTTGATTATAAACAGATTTTTGTAAGATTTGTAAGATTTTTTAAGCTACCTGCCTTGTCTATCGTTTCTTCATTAATTAAATTCTTAAATTAAACTGTAAAACGAACCGCATCGAGCAGATTAATAATAAGACTGGTAATTGAATAGATTTGATTAATATATTTTTGAAGGTTAAACTATTAATTTCGTAGGTATTTATATCTAATGGAGATCATCAAATCAACAAGCGTCTTAAGGATATTCTGTAAATGTTGCTTCACCGTTTTTCTTAAACGATTCATTGCTGTTTCGATAATCTATCCAACTGATTGTTATTTCTGTACATTTATTCATGGATTTAGAAGCTGAAATGCAACTTAAGCTTTATTAAAGTTTTGGAGAGGTTAGTTGAGAGTGACTGGTCGTTCCCATATTCCTCTGCGAAGCGGAGACAAGGTGCATGAAAAGCCGCGATGACAAAAAGATCGATGCCTTTGAAATGTGGGTGTGCCGGAGGATGCTCCAAATACCATGGACTGCCATGAGAACTAACGAGTCTATTATAATAGAGCTAATCCAAAAAAGGCTCTCTGCAACCTGCCGGGAGCGTGTTATGAGCTTCTTCGGACACATCATGTGGTCTCCCAGACATGAATTAGAGAAGCTCATAATTTAGGGTCGTATATAGGCAAGCGCGCCGTGGGCAGAACACCAGCCAGATGGTCGGATCTGGTTAAGGAAGTGGTTGGTGGTAGTCTATACCATACAGTCCATGCCACCCGTGATCGAACACTGTGGAGGAAAGTCACATGTGGTTGCAATCCTCAGCAGTGAGGGAACGATGAAGAAGAAGAATAAGAAAAATAGATACAGATGTAATCTCGGTATCGAGCTACGACATTTTTTAATCTAACTTCCAAATTTACTTAACTTTTTACGGGCACCTTTTTTTTGGTACCTAAGCTGATAGCCTTAAGAGGCTATTTCAGCGTAACCTTAATTAATAGGTGAGCTCACGGGGCTTAAACCTGACGACGTTGCTAACACGAACTCTAGCATGAGCCGTACTTCGCAGAATCTACCACCGGATCGGAAACGCGACCCACTGAGAAGATCCGGCGAGAAACTCAGTGAGCTGTGTTTGTGGATTCATTTACTCGCCGAGCCCTTCGTCGCAAGCGACGGGCTCGACAAGAATGATGACCGATGCTTGAGGTTACGGGCACCGAACTGCGGTATTTAAAGAAAATACAATACGAGCAACACTCATGGTAAACAGGGAAGTCGGAATCGCCTTAAAAAAGGATGGGGTTTCTCGAGTATTCACATGTCACGGATGACTAAGGCAGTCATCCGTGACCACGAAAACTATAAATCCGAAACTACGGGAATAATAAAGTGACCATAAAAAACGTTAGACCAAGCCGTAAAGGCAGTTATAATTATGTCTACTGTCTTATAAAAGCTGAAGGAAACACTAACCAAACTGCCAAACCAACAAGTTTCCTCGGATTAAAAAAATTAAAATGAAAATATAATGAAAAAAATGTTTATTGATCCACATAATTGCACCTTATCAATTACTGAAGCCTCCTTTTAGACAAATAATACCTGTGTTAGGACGCATTAGGAATGCGTAGGAAACAAATATATTCGTTCATAGCTTGAATATAGCGGTGATTTCTGTGGCCCACAAGACTGACTAAACTATTATTTCACAGCGGTATGAGGTTAAGCAGTCTTCAGTCAGTACGTGCACATGAATAGGAAATTTTAGTATACAAGCAGTATTTTTTTTGTAATGTCAGCTTTATGAATTCCGTATGTTTTTTTTAAAGCAATTAAATATATTTTGTGCGAATTAGAATTTAAGATTTTCGCAAAAACTGTAGCATTAATTACCCATTAAAATTAACATCCTAATTATGCATATATGTAGTTGTAATGTAATAATTGGATGAGTTAATTTGTGTAATTATTGATAATTATTGAATTATACTCAATAGTTACTCAGAAACTTTTTTGTTTCAAGTGGATGAATTTTGGCATATATTTCTTTTTTAGAGATACGGTAGTGACGTATATCTTGCTTGAATTCATATACGTGAAGAAATCTTGTTTAAAACTTTATAGTTCTCTTTGTTTATCTTTTGTTGAGTAGCTAAACAGAACGGCATTCAATTTTTGAAAATGTCTTGTAATTAAACTTTCCATCATCAAAAGAGGCTTGTGGAGAGCTTTCAGTGGTAGTCCCCGGCATTGCTGACATCCATTAGCGCCGGTAGCCACTCACCATTAAGTGGGCCGTATGCTCGTCTGCCTACAGGGGCAATGTCAAAATCGTTTGGGTTATTTGAATATAGCAAGGCCTAACATTTCCAGGAAAAAGTTTGTATGAAATAAAATATGGCGGAAAACTTCTGTTAAAGATATCAAGTTGATCTCTGTTTATTTTTAATGCAAAGCACATAATACTTAGTCTCAGCATAAAAATTTTTATAAGTAAAACTTCGATTTTTATTCTATTACATGTTACATTTATTACTTACATTATGCTTTAGTTATTACACTAATCTGATATCAAAATATGTATATGTATAATAAAAAATGATCTATCTCCGTTGACCTTAATATATTCCATTGAACGTTGTGGCTAGATTGAAACACGGACTTTTGATCTATAGGAAATTTCACCGGTATCACTAATACGGAATGTTTAAGTGTTATATTATGTATATTAGGTCTAAATTATCTCGGCGTTTAGAGCATGTCTATAAGACATCATGAGACTCGTAATGACTGGTGGATGGAAGACGATCCAGAGGTCATAGCCATAAAAGATGGAGTCATCGAATGTCCGAGCACCTGAACAAGTCACCTGTCCACTATTAAAACGATTTTTCTTTATGTTTTGACAATTTATTCCGAACGTCGAAGATTGTAATTTAAAAAAAAAAACGTTCCAATTCGGTGATGAAGAATGAGGTTTTAAATCGCATTAAAAACTTTTTGTTCTAAGACCTGTCTTTAGATTTAGGTGTGTTCTGTTTCACACGGGCCAAAGTAATTAGATTATTCTCATAAACATTCTGCCTAATTGTTATTCACAGAATGTTTTTTTTTCTTTCTAGCTGGCTACATACAAATTTGCAAACATGATCCGAATACGATCAATGAATGCGTGCAGAAATCTATTGAGGCGCTAAAACCTAAATTAGCCGAAGGCATCCCCGAACTGGACGTTCCGCCGCTAGAACCCTTCATCATTCCCGAGGTAATGTACAAGGTTCCGATGCATGTTTTGATATATAAGTATGTATAGTTTTTCATGTTAGGAGTCAAAAGATATATTTATATTACAAGTGGCTCTCACAGAAATTCTATTAAGTTATAGTTATGATATCTCGTACTAATTTCGAAATCATTCGTCATCTATTCATTCAGTTCAGTTCATTCAGTCATTCGTTCAGTCACTGTATAATAAAATAATATAACAAAAAAAAATGGTGCGCGTGCAACTTGGTGCACATGAAAGAAGTGAAACTTCTTTTGTGGTGTGCAGTATTGTGGTTTTCTTCATTTTTCATCCTTAAATCAAATTTCTCTTGTAATAGGGAATGCTGTGTAGAAAATAAACATCTTCACCACTTATACATATTTTAAATTATATCTAGAAAAATAAATAATTTTTTTTTAATCCTTCATTAAAAATAAAATATAAGATTGTTAATAGGTTACTGCCATCTACAGGGCTAATGAGAAACTAATAACAAGCCACCTAGTGGCCGACGCCCGTAAACAGATTTTGTTTAAGAGAAACGACCTAGCTTGCTTTGTCCTTTCTCTCTCTCCACGGTCGAGTGGTTCGCGGGACGCTCTGCTTATTTTTTCACTCTCGCTCTTCCTAAATTATATCTCTTCTCTCTAACCGTAAATAATCTTTTGCAAGTTAAATTTTACTGTGAACGCGCCTAAAGAAGTTTTACTTCGCGCAACACGAGTTAAAACCGTGACACATTCACCTTTTTTATTTTAATTATATTATTATTATTTTAATTATATCAAGAAAAAAATAAATTATTTTTAGAAAAGTATAGCCGGGCTCCTAGAGAGAGTTAATTTGTTTTGTTTTTTTTACGTGATTCTTTCAATTGGCTTCGATGGAAAAAAATGTATCAGGCGTTTTTCTTTAGAGTTTGTAGTCTCATGAAGTTTTACTTTTAAATAATGTTTTAAAAAAATATGAAGAAAAAACATGATAAGATTACACGATGTATCTTTTTTTGTTAACTGTTACCGAAAAGTATTTTATCTCGGTAATGAAGGTGAGGGTTAATCGCCTGATGGCGCTAAAAAGTCTTTTTAGGAAAAAATAATCGTAAGGCGCATAAAACATGTTTTTGTTAGCTTGGGACGTAGTGACGTGGCGATTGTCATTCGGCAGTAAGTTACTGCTAGTAACTTGTTTTTACAATTTAAATAAAACATACCATTATATAAAAGAGCGAAATATATTATGTTACCATAAAAATAATTAACAATACGATTTCGAAGGAGACACTTTTCCTTTTTTTAATAAATTTTACTGGATTGGAAACAAAGTCCTTTAAGCTAAGGATACACTTTCGGGTTACCGTATTTCAGAGCATAAACTTACGTACCCAATTATGTAGGTGATTAACGTTGAGTTTAGCCAAATAAATAGAGTTTGCGACAGTGGTTAATTGTCGTTTTGGCTTTGAAAATGGTTCCGTGGGATTCTGTTTGATATTATTGTTACGATGTTTTCATTAGAAATTTGATTTGAAGGTGGTGGCTTCCAGTAAAGATCGTGTGCCGCTTCAAGCTACTGGAAAAAATATCAAGATCACGGGAGCTGGTGATTTTCATATTAATAAATTGAAGTGAGTTATTTTACGTTTTAGTATTCAGAAAAATAATGACGATTGAGTGATGAATTTTAATAATAAACGCTCTAATGAATAAGCAGATTGAATTAGGATAGATATTAATAGAATGGTTTTTTTTTAATTTTACTGTTGAATATTTAGTTATTATTGTATTAGTTCAATGCTGCTGATTTGAAATAACGATGGACTTCGGTTTGTGGGCAGATCAACTGTTTTTTTTTTTTACTGCCGTATAGGTAGACGAACATACGGCCCACCTGATGGTGATGTTTTAAAGCAATTAAAATCTCGACTACATGATGGCGCATTTTTCATAGCGTATGATAATATTACTGGATATTATGTATTATTAGTTAGCCGATATCATACCGATTTATACTAAAGCCTAGGTGATTTTAATAAAAAAAGTGTCATCATCCTAATGAAAGGAGCCACCATGCAAACAATTATAACTTTGTTATTATTTGTCAATGTCAAGATAGTTCGGGTACAAATATTTGAAGGCTGGGGAAAGAGATGGCGTTGTTTTAAATTATTTTTAAACGAGCAATGACTTAATGTACTTTTGGGATCGTGCTAAATGACAGGGAAGGGCTGAGTGAAAAAGGATATGTGAGATGTAAATAGACATGCTTTAACAAAAACCGACTTCAAATAGAAAAAAAAAGATATTCCAAATCAAATTAACATACACTAAAAACTATAATCATCGAAATCGGTTGGCGTGATATTGAGTTATTCATCTATTTGTCGCGCACGTACTTAATGCAAATTTAAGACTTATTTATATATGGTTTTCTCACGGATACCATTATCAGAACTGGACTAAATTGAAATGGAACCACACGGAAAGCATCAGCTTTCTAATAAAAAAATAATCATCAAAATCTATTCACCCAGTCAAAAGTTATGAGGTAACAAACATAAAAAAGTCGAATTGAGAACCTCCTCCTTTTTGAAGTCGGTTAAAAAGAGTGTTCCAATGAATTTCTCGCCAGATTTTCACAGTGGGTCGCGATTGCGATCCTGTGGTAGATTCAGCGAAGCACGGCTCTTGCTAGGGTTAGGGTTAGCGAATTTTCTCGGGTTGAGCCCGTGAGCTCACCTATCCGTTCGGGCGTAGCTAGAATAGCACCTTAAGCTACCAGCAAATAGGTAAGAGAAAAAATGGAGTGAGTGCAGACATGACGTATGATAGGTCCGAGTGGAAAAAGAGGACATACTGCGCCGAGCCTACTTAAGGGATAAGGGCTAGAAGAAGAAGAAATCAGTCAGACATATTTTATAATACTTTTATTGTTGTGGTAAACTTCATATAAAATTGATGAAATGGGAATAATGAATACTTGTGATGTTCGTCAGGGAAGAAAATGTCTTGTAATTTTTGGGAAATATAATGCAAAACTAATTAATCGAATTAAGAACAAACTAACTTACCGCGAAATCATTTACTACACGAATCACAAAGATAACTAAGACTCATGAAGTTTATCTTTAAAAACCAAATTCAAGTCACACAAATTTCTAATTTAATTATATTTTTAGTGTGGATCTCGATAGTTTGATATTGAAAGCCAAGGTTAATTTCCCGAAGTTGCACTTCGACGGATTATACAAGTTGGACACTCAGATCTTGGTCGTGCCCATCAAGGGAGAGGGAAATCTTCTTGCTGACGTCGGTAAATAGTTTCGCATTAAGACTAACATTATAAATTTATTGTGCATTAAATAGGAATATATATTGTTTTTCATATATGGATCAATAATTTTACGACTCACCTGGTGTAAAGCGGATAATAGAGCCCATGATCGTCACGGTGGTTATGAGATAATGCTCTTGCCCAATCTCCGGTGAAATAGTTAGTTGTCTTTTACGACACCCAGAAGAAACGATAAGCTGGTGCTATTCTAGGTGACCAACACACAGCGAAAGCTCACTGCATATCTGTGTGCTTAGTGCGAGTGTTTTAACGTTCTCTATAGCGTAAAAGTTAGCTCATATTTGTATGGAATGGGATCGTTTACGTACGTTTGCCGCTGGGGGCGCTGTTCCAAGTGCATACAAAATTGGCTTAACTTTTACGCTATCGCGAACGTTAAGAAACTCGCACTAAGCACACTGACATCAAGGGATTACCGGAGCCCATAGGCATCAGAACGTGAATATCATCGCTTATATTCGGCCACAATGGATCGACCATGGACCACATAATTTAAACTTTGAGCTGTTCACACGTATTGGATATATAGTTTAATCTTACAATAGTTGTAGGACCGCAATGGGTTAATATAAGATTCGCAAGCTCGCAAGGCTTAGTCCCTGCGATATTAACACATTTCATTCTGTATTCTTTCACTGGTGGAAGGACCTCTTGTGAGTTCGCGCGGGTAGATACCACCACCCTACCTATTTCTGCCGTGAAGCATTAACGCGTTACGGTTTGAAGGGTAGGGCAGCCGTTGTAACTACACTTGAGACCTTAGAACTTATATCTTGAGGTGGGTGGCGCATTTACGTTGTAGATGTCTGTGGGCTCCAGTAACCACTTAACACCAGGTGGGCTGTGATCTCGTCCACCCATCTAAGCAATAAAAAAAATACGTACTTGATTTCTTTTCAAAATTTTATAGATTTTCCGCGGCTTTTCGTCTTTACTAATTTTTGGTTTTATGTCCTCGTAATCTTGTAAATAAACTTGCTACCTGCTACCTAAGCAATAAAAAAAAATCCTGATAATGTTTACATTGTTTTTAGTGAACTGCGACGCCGAACTCGTGTTCAAAGGAGGGAAGTACCAGAAAGACGGTCTCGAATTCATTAAGTTCAATAGTCTTGATACTAAGATCGGAATCAAAGATTATAACGTCAAATTCGATGGATTGTTCAATAACGACAAAGTTCTCGGTAAGTTCTTGCGAAAATCGTCATGTTTTTGGCACCCTTTAAACTGAAGCTCTTTGGTAGCTGTTGTCTATTAGCAGATAATAGTGGTAGTAATTCATATGTACCGGTAGGGCGATTTTATGTATAGGGAATACGTATCAGCTTTCTCGCTATGATTTATAATATAATAATATCTTGTATTAATCGATGGGCCTGTCATTTTGAATCCTTTCGATCCACTAACGGTGCTTTTAGGTAGACTAAAAGACCGGCGGTCACCCATCTCGTCGAATCCGTCGCTTGCGACGAAGGGTTCGGCGCGTAAATTAACCCACAGACACAGCAAGCTGAGTTTCTCGCCGGATCTTCTCAGTGGGTCGCATTTCTGATCCTGTGGTAGATTCTGCAAAGGACTGTTCTTGCTAGGGATAGTGTTAGTATCGTCGTCAGGTTAGAGTCCCGTGAGCTCACCTATTAGTTATCTGGATCTGGTATAACCCCTCGAGGTTATTAGAACAGGTAGGAAAAAAACGGGTCTACGGCATGAGCTCACAGGAGAATGTATTACAAATAGTTCGCTAGGGCCCACAGACGTTGAATAGTAAGCGCCACCGACATATTCCTGGTCTTAAGGTTAAGACCATTGTACTCATATCGAATGATGCGACTGAGCTGGTGCCTGAATCACGCATACAGGGTTTGATTTCTGATGTCCCAATTTGGTTGGCGGATTCGAACTGTATCTACATGCTCCGGTAAATAATTAACACCAGGTGGACCATGAGTTCGTTCACCCGTCTATGACACAAAACTTCTGGAAGTTTTCTCGAAGTCTTAGTTTTCAAAGGCGAAGATCTGGTTAAAGGTGTTTAATGAAAGGGTTATTGGATCTGATGGATCTGTATGGACGTGTCTAGGGCTAGAATTCACTATGTGAGTGAACTACACGCTCCCCAGATTTAAAGACCGGATAGCGATTCAGCACTTGGGGCCGAGTGGTGTGACCTTTGTGCCGGATGGGATACATGTAATTTCCCAAGCACCAAAATTCCCTCTGTGTTATGTTTAAGCCCCTTATGCTAGTACCGTGACCCGCGATGTAGAATTAGGCTGCTTCTTCTTTCTTTTTTTCAGTATGATTTTCGGGTTCTTGCGATACCATGGTTACCAGTATCGAGTTTATAAAAATCTAATTTATAAAAAAGATTATTAAATATAATCACTCTTAAAAATATTATTTAGGCACATATTTTGTTATGAGATATGGTAGGCATCGACTTGGCTGTGGCCCTAGCATTGCCGGCGTCCATGAGCGACGTTAGCCACTTACCATCAGGTGGGTCGTATGCACGTCTGCCTACATAGGCGTAAATAATATGATGAATGGTATGAAACGAATTGAAATGATCTTGTTTCCATCCGTTGAGATCACAGGATACGAAACGATATTAGATGATATTAAATAAAGTCTCAGGAAAACGGTGGTTATTCATTGAGATTATTTACGAGAAGCCATCTCCTGGAGTTTTGTTTAATTTTCCCACACTCGTGGGAAAAAACTATTATTATTACTCATTCAAACCTGAAGGGACTCTATATTAACAAAATAATTAATTATAAACAAACACAAAACACCAAAATAAATAATTCACTCAATTTCGCTCTTAGCGGGCCCGCCAAAATGTCTTCTCTGCTTATGTTCTGTGCGCATTTCATGTCCAAATAGTTTTGATTTGAAATTTGTCGTCAACAGGTGATGCAGCCAATGACGCAATCAATCAGAACAAGGCAGAGTTCTTCAATACGTTCAAGCCGTTCCTGGAGGCGGCTGTTTCAAAACTGCTCCTAAATATATCCAACAAAGTGGTCGACGACCTCCCATTCAACGAACTACTGCCCAAACCTTAATTTTAAAATGTTTAATTTTAAAGGCGAGTGATTAATAAAATGAGATTTTGAATTGGCGTTTTTGATATGTTTTATTTACGTTTGATTACTATTGAATGATTATACGTCTTTCTTTGAACAATTATTAAAACGATGGAAAACATATTCTGTAAATTATGTCGAGAGGTGAAAGGCCATTTATTTTTTTAAGCGCCATTTCGTTTAATACGCGACATTTACTTTTTTAATTGAATATGCAATTTCTAAAAGGGCATATTTCGTCAAATACGTTTTTTCATATACATGTAGTTTTGAGGCTTACCACCGTACACCCATTTTATAACAATTCCAGTAATTTTCAATTTCTAATTAACACTAAAATATATCTCAAAAGTTAATATTTTAAATTTTACACTGCTTTAGAAAAAAATTATCAGTTTTTTCATTTCCTGAACATTTTACATTTTCAGAGATGTGCCCTTTTCGAAATTGCATATTCAATTAAAGGTGCGTTTTATTTAGTGTTAGCAACAACAGTTCGATATTTTTAATTGAACTTCAATTAGGTTTACTCCACTTAAATGGCTGAAGAAGTTTTGTTTTGTTATGATATTTTTCCAAATTTTACACTTTAAATGTCTCTGCTGTGAAGTTACAAAAATGTCGCTCAAACCAAATAGTGTTTCACTCCTTGAATTATTTAGACACAGACATGTATAGTTTTGATAAAATTAATTATAAAAGTAAGAAATCACATGTCATCTTCTTGCATTAAAACTGTATAATCTCAAAACTTACTAATTTTACAGGAGAGTGTTTTAAAGGTTTAACATGTGATATTTTTAATATTAATCATCTTTGCAACATTAATTTTTTATTTTTTACTAGTTACATTTATCTGTCTTTTAAAGTATGATAAAATTATGAATTAATTTTGTTATAGTAGTCAAAGCATAGGTAAACAAAACTAAAAAAACAAACTACGCTCTTTTGACAGTATTTATAAGAAAAATACTGGTGAGATACCAAATGATTCCGCATGTTAACTCAATATTTTTGGAAATTGTACACTTTTAATGCGAAAAGACGATATGTAGTTGAATTTAAATTACATGCGAATCCATCTTCTACGCTTAGTAATTTCGCAAATGAACACCGAGTCACCGACTCTATTGGCAATACCGGCGATCATATTATTATGTCAAGTGCTGTTCGCCTTGACCGAACCCGGTTCGGATTGCTTCATTATATTTTCTATGATTTTTTTAAAATAAATTTATAGTAGTTTATTTGCAGAAGATTACTTACGGCAGGTATTGAGCAGATATTGGACCCGTGGGCGAGGCCGCGTCGTCCCCGTGTGCGGAGTGTGTGAGTCGTCGTGGCCTAACGGATAAGACGTCCGTCCGGTGCATTCGTGTTGAGCGATGCACCGGCGTTCGAATTTCAGGCGGGTATCAATTTTTCTAATGAAATACGTACTCAACAAATGTTCACGATTGACTTCCACGGTGAAGGAATAACTTCGTGTAATAAAAATGAAACCCGCAAAATTATAATTTGCGTAATTACTGGGGGTAGGACCTCTTGTGAGTCCGCGCGGGTGGGTACCACCACCCTGCCTATTTCTGCCGTGAAGCAGTAATGCGTTTCGGTTTGAAGGGTGGGGCAGTCGTTGTAATTATACTTGAGACCTTAGAACTTATATCTCAAGGTGGGTGGCGCATTTACGTTGTAGATGTCTATGGGCTCCAGTAACCACTTAACACCAGGCGGGCTGTGAGCTCGTCCACCCATTTAAGCAATAAAAAAAACGTTTGTTTTAGCTTAAATCGTAAAACACAAAATATGTAAATTACATAGTGTTTGTTGCGCTTAGTGCTGTTTATATTGCTAAAATAAGTTTTATGCTAATGGGTGATGGGAGAGATGTGCTCCGCACTAAACGCTTCACTCTCCTCCCCTTGCCTTTTCATGAGTTCTATCTCATGCGAGGGTTGGACGTTGGTTGTTGAGCGACAGGAGGTTTTAGTCGGTTCGACTCCGACATGCCCCACCCTCCATCCCCAGTGGAGGGTGGGAGTTCGGCGATTTCCCCTAGACAAAAAAAAAAATGCTAGATGCGTGTTGCGACTTACATTTGATATCAATTTATGTTCCGTTGTTATTTTATTAAGTATTTATAGTATTATAGTGTTACGCTCTATTTCGTTACAATTATGAATAGTCGAAGTTTCTTTTTCAGCAACATTGTCTCGCGGAAATCAGTGTACAGTACCCGGCGGTAAAGATTGCACATCGACCTCCAGTATTGGTAGTGTGCGACAGAGATAACGCTCTACGAATCCGAAAGTAGCCGATTGTCTCTTTCCAAAGGTTGTCGAGCAATATTAAAATTTATTGCCGGGTACTGTATTCACGTTTTTTACAATCAGGTAAAAGGTAAAAGGTAGGTAGCCCTAGCAAGAGCAGTGCTTCGCAGAATCTACCACCCTATCGGAATCGCGAGCCACTGAGAAGATTCGGCGAGAAACTCAGTAGGGAAAATCATGTTGAAGTCGTAAACGACAACAGGTTTTTTGAGCTACAAAATTTAATATCTAATTAGGAATTAGATAGATAGGACATTTATGTCTCTAATTATTTTAAAATTTACCTTTAAATATGATTCTTGCAACAGTACTTAATGAAAAATTGATATAGTGAAAACAGTTAAAATAAAGTTTTCTATCTCTACTGATCTCAAAACTGCCAAAGTTACGTATGGCAATTCCTCAATAATATCTGAGCCTGCATAATTAGTCTTATTGCATTTGAGGCATGAGAAGTTTCTATAGTATTGTAATAGATTTTTCCTTTGGATTGGGCCGCACAAATATTTCGGCCACGAAATAGGTTGGTTTATATTCACCAGGGTTTTCTGTCAATAAGTCTGATTACCAGTAAAATGTAAGACTCGGTAAGACTAACGTGAATTGTAAATGTTTTTAAATCATTAAACGATTTTTTTTTATTGCTTAGTTGGGTGGACGAGCTCACAGCCCACCTGGTGTTAAGTGGTTACTTGAGCCCATAGACATCTACAACGTAAATGCGCCACCCACTTTGAGATATAAGTTCTAAGATCTCAGTATAGTTACAACGGCTGCCCCACCCTTCAAACCGAAACGCATTATTGCTTCACGATAGAAATAGGCAGGGTGCTGGTACCTACCCGCGCGGACTCACAAGAGGTCCTACCACCAGTAGATTTGTCTTATTAACTTTTTGGGTGGCATTCGCATGTTCGAAAACTTTCGCCATAACGTGCATGTCGCTGCCAATAAAATTTAATATGTAACAGTAAAAAGCTTATCAATCTATATTTCGAGTTCTGGTGAGGTTTTGTTTGATTTAGATGACTAGTTTTGAGTTATCCTTTCAAATCGTAACAAGAGGAAATGGGGTACATTGAATCATGGCTTCTGTGGACATTAATGAACTATTAGCTCACAAATCCCAACTGTTAGATGTATGTAGATCGTAGGACGTAAGGCTTGCTACAAGGGTCGGTTCTAAGCTGTCTCTATCCAGCGGATTCCGGCAATTACCTGCCTGTGAAACTGAAAAGGTCTCAAGGCCACTATTAATCTTTCCTTCCAAAACAAAAACCGTCAATATTCAACAAATCCTTGGTCTACGATTTAGGATGCTTATCTACGCTACGACCCAGATAGCGTAACAACATATTTTATTTAGTTTAACGAAAAATCAAAATGGTAACAGAATACACAAGCAGCATGGGAAACTGGGACCCATACAAATAGCCTGCTAAGTAAGACGTTAAGAGAATATTATTAATTATTTAGTATACAAGTTAATCGCCGTGAGTAAGAGGTGAATGTTTAAATTATTAACAACGTGTGCATCCAGGACGGACTGCGCTCACGTGTCCAGAGGCTAGATTTTGCAATCGCCGGATCTTAAATCACCGAGCATTATTCTCAAGGATTTACTAATTATTTTTGCTCAGTTTTGCTGTCTCTTTCAAACTTCACTTACGTTCTTTTGGATGTAAGTGTAATTTGAAAGCTCAGTGGCTAGTGACCCCTACTTTTAGACTGCGTGGTCCTATTCAGCATAACAACATTCTGGTAAACCATGTATCAAAATAGTTTTTTTGAGACTGTCTTCGACAATCTAGTTTTAAAATTTCGAAAGCCATTCGCCTTTCTATTCCATAGTATTTCAAAAGATGTAAAGCGTATTAAAAACACATTTTCGACATCTGTCATTATGGTTTCTCTTGGGCTTTTTAATTTGTCATCGTCTGAATAGTTTTACAGAGTTATATAATATTTGGGGCATAGATTAATTACTATAAAAGTCATGACATACTGTATTTTTTTTTTTTTTTTTTTTNCTTCGCAAAGTGAGCGCGGAAGTTCCACCGACCATCCAGTTCAAGGCCGAGGTACCGAAGACCGGTCACCCCGACCCCGACGCGGACGCCTCCGATCACGAGGTGGGCACCCAGAGGCGGCGCTCGTCCCGGCCCGTGAAACAACAGGGCCTGGGTTTTGTCGAGCGCCACCTCGAGTCCCAGCCGTCGGATCCTTGTGACGACGTGATGACATACTGTATTGCCCCATACATTTTTTTGTGTCATTGTTCAGTCTATCTTGTAATTAGACGCAAAGTTTTATCAAAACGTAGTAGACAACGATGCTATTTTCATACGGTTAATGTGTCAATCTTCCCTATTTTTTTTAAAGATGTTTTTAAAGGGTTGTTTTTGAAACATTACTGAAAGCATAGAATGATTCTAATGCAAAAAGAGTATATTTGTAACATGATAAGTATTATATAATATCCATATTCTAGGTTCAGTTAATCAACAAATTTATTAATAGTATTGTGTTTTTTTTTGTGACGCTATGACGCACGCATTTATTTAATATTTATTCGGTAACCATTATGATGTTTGCTTTTGGAGTATAGCATGCTAATGTCTAAATTAAGTTTGCTTATAACGTATATAGCACGATTTGAAAATTTTAAATTATTAGAAGCAGCTGAGTTTGTGCGAGTCCAGAATAGGGCTGATGGACATTCACGTGTGTTTTTAAGAGCTGTGGGAGTGGTGGTGGATGATCGTCTGAGGCGGCTCAGTGCCGGTTCGCTCAGCGCCCCGGCTGGCCGATACAACAGCGTATCAATCGTTTGCCACACATTTGCGAAACGATATTGTGCAATAAGCATGGAAATGTTGCTAGCTACCGTGTTGCTACTAGTGCTGCACTGTATTACCGCAGACATTCGTAAGTACTAACTAAGTATAAATAGAAATTTTATCTGTGATATTTTAATTAATATTCTGTGTTTTGTTATATTTATGGTAATGTTGACATTAAATTTCAAATTTTGAATTTTTTTTGGTATCGATTTAAAAAAGTCGATCAATCAAAATGTTATTTCAAAATTAGTACAAGAGTACTAGAATAAAATTTCATTTTTAGCTTTTATTTTTATGTATTTGTACAGTAAAATCCACCGAGGTCAACAAACGCGAAAACGGTTTGAATCTCGAATCAGCACGTTGAGAAATATTTGAATTTTAGTTTCATCATATTTGCAGAGAATCGGTTTCACAACTACTACGATTGACTATATGAATGTTATGTTCAATCTAATTTGCTAGTTTGTAATAAGAAGCTCGTATACATGTTAGACTAATAAATATGTCGCTTTATAGTTAAAAGATCAGGTGATGTTGATAGTGAATATAAAAGTTAATAAACAGGCGCGAAACAGGCATTTGTTTATGTTTTTTTTCTAACAATTCAGTAAATAAAAATTAAAATTTTAGTATTTTTTAGCATTTATCATATTATTTTCATTATTTTCGATGCTATACCGAATACGACGTATAGTACTTACCCTTAATACCATAGTTATATGGTATATATTATAACACCAGACCATATCGTCGAGTATTTGTTTTTTTTCATCGCAAAACCTTGTACGTACAGATATTAACATTGAAAATAAGCTAAATTTATCCATACGATTTTGTGTTACGCTTATTCGACGGTACGTTAACAGCAATAATTTTGAAATTAAATATTATGTTTTTTTTCAATGGCCGCCATTTGTAATTTTAAACGAAATATAAAATTCAAAATTGCCTCCAATATATTAACGTTTTCTCTTCCGTTTTTCAACAGATTTTCTCGTTTTATTGTATTTTAGATATTGACGAGCTTTACCGAGTAGACGAGAGTTATCAATACATAAATCTGGAAACATCTTTTTTCCCAAACTCTAAAAAACAAAGTGGAAAAACCAAAAAAGAAGGAAATAATATATCTTACATAATATTATACTTAATTTTAAGTCTTGAAGTGACAGTGATTATGGTCGAGATTCGATCATTCCGTGAACAGTTTATTTACAAGATTACGAGGACATAAAACAAAAAATTAGTAAACACGAAAAGCCGTGGAAAATCTATAAAATCTTGAAAAAAAATCAAGTACGTATCTACAATTGTGTCAAGGCTTCTAATGAAAACATTGAAACATTTAATAATTTCCCTTCCATTAATTTGATTTGTCTGTTAGTTCAATGTCCGTAATATTGTGCTAACATTATAGCACAACCGGTGACTGCGGACTAAGCTAGTATAATTTGATCCCAAAACATAGACAACTAATTTAAATGTGGATTTGTAAGAAATACAATATCTTAGTGGTAAAAAATAAAGAGTTCTTGTTTTAATTTTGTACTTTAGACATCGCGATGTGAAAAGTGCGAGCTCTCTAGTTGAACCACTACCGTAGATATCTTATATTTATTATTATATTAGATGATATTAGATTTTACCTTGGGTCTTCCTATGCATATTAAATGGCGGAATATTATGATGCTTACTAACGCCGTTTTTATTATTGTTAGGATAGTCCTAAATTCCTAATCATTTGCCGTTTCTGCAATTCTGAAATTTGCATTTCTGAAATTGCCATTACTTCAGAAATGTAGCCGATACGAAAATGGATTTTTAGTAAGTTACGTACTGCCCTGAAGGTACACAAATATCTTGTCTAGCGAAGAATTTGTTCGCTTCACAAAAGTCATGTATATTATTGAAATTTAAGTTTTTTTTTTATTGCTTATATGGGTAGACGAGTTCACAGCCCACCTGGTGTTAAGTGGTTACTGGAGCCCATGGATATCTACAATGTAAATGCGCCATCCGCCTTGAGATATAAGTTCTAAGGTCTCAGTATAGTTACAACGGCTGCCCCACCCTTCAAACCGAAACGCATTACTGCTTCACGGCAGAAATAGGCAGGGCGGTGGTACCTACCCGCGCGGACTCACAAGAGGTCCTACCACCAGTAAAAAAAGTTAAAGTAAAATGCTTCACTATGAATGGCTCTAAGCTGAGTATTTCTTTTGTTTTATTTTTAACCCTAATGCAATCCTTCGAAATGAGAATGACGTCATTTAGACTCCAAATGTGAATTTTTTAGAAGAACATCAAGTCCAAATTGCAAACGAATATCAGACTCGTGTCAGGGTCAGTAACGACTAGGTCAGAGGCTCTTAATATATTTTTCTTAGACTATTTGCCACGAGAACGTTGTAAGCGGTATTGCGTGAAGAATCACTTGTACGCCATATACCTGTTTATTTTAACTGTTGTTTTTTTCTGTTTGGATACTTATCACTGCTAGAACTATTTATATTTTATCGTATTATTTACTACTAGAGGTCCCGCAGTAGTCGAAATTCGACTATAATTAATTGGAATTGTAAGTTTGTACACTATTATGATTGTATTTTATACTTCTACATATAATCACAAATTTCGCCAAGACTACACTATAAAAAATATTAACAAAGACAAACAATGTTTAATCTATTCTCAATTTGACCACAGACGTCAAGAACAAAAGTTTGACAATAAATAGTAGGCATGCGTGTGTGCGTCAAATACATGGTATGTAGTGTGTGTAATGTTTTCTTTACTGATTTAATGTATCTTTTATGAATTATTTTAAAAAAAAATTAGCATTGTGCACTTCTTCTCTATATTCTCTATAAGTGTGGAAAATTTCATACTCCTCCGTCCGCGCAATTTCCGTAAAAAGGGATACAAAGTTTTTGCTTCACGTACTAATATAAAGATTGCCTCAAATGACGTCATTCGTAATGACGTGATGATAAGTCAGAAGAAGTGGCGGTACTAATACCCATTTAAATCTTAAACTGAACACAATAAGATATCAACGATATTTTTCAAACTTTATTCATCCAATACAATAACACAAATATTATTTTTATTTGTCGTAAGAACACACAGCACACTGATAGTGAGATACAATTAAATTCTATTTAAAAATACACCTTGTTCTATATCTAGAGTATTTGCGAGCAGCCAAGATTTTTTTTAGCTTTAAATCAAATATGTAATCTGTTTGTATACTCCTAAGGCGTTTGGTAATTTTCTTTCCGTAGTTAGTGCGAACTTTAATAAAGACGTAAGGCGTTTGGTAATTTTCTTTCCGTAGTTAGTGCGAACTTTAATAAAGACGTTTTTATGTGTCTTTCTTGAATCATGTTTTCTTATTTTTTAGTAGCAAATTAGAACGTATTTAATTTGTTTTAATATTTTATTTAACAATGGTAACTATGTCATTATTTCAGCGCCATACATTAAGGTGTGCCAGCGAAATGATCCGAACGTTGACAAGTGCATTATGAATTCGGTCGAGGAGCTACGTCCAAAGATGATAGACGTAAGTTTCAGATAAATTTTTATTTAATTTTTTTAATTGATTAGTTGGGTTGACATCTACAACGTAAATGCCGCCACCTTGAGATATGAGTTCAGTGTCTACAGTACAACGGCTGCCGTATCCTTCAAACCGAAACGCATTATTGTTTCACGGCAGAAATAGGCAGGGTGGTGGTACCTACCCGTGCGGATTCACGCCTTGTGACTATTAATTCGAAATTTTATATTTTGCATAAGGCTCCTTAAATTGAATGCAATATAATACAATATTGACCAAAATTACGAGTCAAATTTACTGTCTTGAAGTAATGCGGAGGGAAACTGCCTTCGTGGGCTCACCAATAATTATTAGATCAAAATAAGAAGTATTTATTTTTATGTAATCTTTAATAAACTAATATTTTCACAATATCCAGCTCACCTAACCTAATTCACTGAGTTTCACGTCGGATCTTCTCAGTGAATCGCGATTCCTATCTGGTGGTAGATACAACAAAGCATTGCTCTTGCTAGGGCAAATTTTTCGGGTTGAGTCTCGTGTGCTAACTCACCAGTCATGCTAAAGAACAGCACCTCGATGCTAGCGATAGGATAGTGATCGATAGATAGGTAGGCAAAATCACACTTTTAGCTTCGGGAGCACTTCCAATACAACACCCTTTTATAAAATTTTTATGTATATTCTCTAAAAATACTTAGAAGTCAAAAGAAAAATTGTTTTAAAAATGGGACCTTAAAATTCAGGCGATTTTTTTAAAACCTCGTTAGGTGGTAGTATTACTCGTAGAAACGTCACTGTTTGCTGTTGCCTGAGTCAAGTTTATGGAATCTCCTCCGTTGTTTGTTTTGCCGTTTACCGCAAGACCTGATGCTGCGGCGTCTGCAGTGGCCTCGTTCGAACCATTCGGAGATTTTGGTGTTTCAGGTGCTGGAGAAGAGCCAGAGTCAGGGTTTGAATTCGTAGGAGAACCAGACGCGTCCGGAGTAGATTGGGCTACTGGAGGATTCTCCGGCGTATCTGCAGGACTGACTATTGAAGCTGATTCATTAGGTTTTTCACTGGATGAAATAGTGGAATCTTTTGGTGCGCCGGGGTTTTCTGAAGCTGCCTGTTTCGATGCGTCAGGCTGTTTTGATGCATCAGCTTGGTTTGACGGTTCAGCCTGTTTCGAGATATCACCCTCTTTTGACGCATCTGCCTTTTCTAATCCATCAATTTGTTTTGATGAATCAACCTGTTTTGACGGATCGGCCTGTTCAGAGACAACACCGTCTTTTGACGTATCAGCCTTTTCTAATCCATCAGTTTGCTTTGATGCATCAGCTTTGTTTGATGGTTCAGCCTGTTTCGAGATATCACCCCCTTTTGACGCATCGGCCTTTTCTAATTCATCAGGTTGTGTTGATGCATCGGCCTGTTTAGACGGATCAGCCTGTTTGGAGACATCACCCTCTTTTGATGCATCTGCCTTTTCTAATCCATCAGGTTGTGTTGATGTATCGGCCTGTTTTGATGCATCAGTCTGTTTTGACGAATCAGCCTGTTTGGAGACATCACCCTCCTTTGATGCATCAGCCTTTTCTAATCTATCAGGTTGTGTTGATGCATCGGCCTGTTTTGATGCATCAGTCTGTTTTGGCGAATCAGCCTGTTTGGAGACATCACCCTCCTTTGACGCATCAGCCTTTTCTAATCCATCAGGTTGTTTTGATGCATCGCCCTGTTTTGACGCATCCGTTTGCTTTGATACATCATTTTTTCCTCCGTTGGCATTGAGATCGGTCACGTCGCTCGCGGTTGGAGATATTGATGGATCAGAATTAGTATCTTGGCCCTTTGAAGCTGTGTCTGGTTCATTATTGATACTAGTATCTGTTTTTACCGAAGAAACGATAGGGTCATTAGCTTTTGCCTCGTCCATAAATAATGCAACATCAACAACAGAATTGGAATTAGGAGATTTCGAAACGGATTGATCGTTTATCTTCGGTCCGTTTATACCGTTTTCTATAACAGACTTAGAATCTGTTGATATTTTCCCATCAGGATTAGCTTTAGAATTCTGTTCGCTGGTCAAATTCATGATGATATTGATTGTCCGACGTAGTTTGGGCCGTATTGGGCACATAGTTCTCTTCCCTGACAAGTCGATCATGATTTTTTTTTTGGAAGGTAAAGACAGCATCACTGCTCCGGGCACCTTGTCATTGGTTTTGGACAACGGTATCAAATTATCGAATTCGTGTTCAAACATTGATTGCATTGGAATTTTTAGTCGTATTACCGTGTTCTGTTTTTGTATTGTTCTCGATTCATGGATATGAATCTGAAAATTTATTATAAAGTATATATTATATTATACAGTAATACGTCGAGGAATGAAAGGTTCTTTGGTTTAAGGTTTAATTTAAGCTTAATATGCGACATTTATTTTCATAATTACAGGTCCGTTTTATTTAGTATTAGCATCAACAGTTCGGTTTTTTTTAATTGAACTTCAATTAAGTTTACCCCATTCTGATAGCTGAAGAAGTGTTTCTGTTACGGTATTTTTTCCAAATTAAATGGCTCTTCTGTAATGTTGCAAAAATGTCGCTTTAACCAAATATCCTTTCATCGGACGATAAATATTATGAATTGCTGTTCGTTAGTCTCACTAAAATACGAGAACGACTGGACCGATTTGGGTAATTTTGGTCTTGAATTATTTGTGGAAGTCCAGGGAAGGTTTAAAAGGTAGATAAATATGAAAATGATCGGAATTAAATAAAAATAACAATTCTGTTTTTCCTTTGATGAGTCCCCCGTCGGACGGATTCCTTTTGTTTGTTTTAAGTTTATTTTATACAAAAGTTTAGGTCTTTTATTTATCGATTGAGGCACTACGAAGTCTGCCGGGTCAGCTAGTATAGTAATAAAAACCAAGGATTTATTTAGAAAAAGCAAGTCGTTGTAAGTTTAAACATACCTGAATTAAGAACAAGAGAAACAGTTGCACTAATCGACCAGACCACCCCATTTTTACAACACAATAACTAAAAAAATCACGCTACAGCTTTTATATATCAAGTGTAGTCGATGATACAATGGCTTACTTGTTCGTCATTATATAGACCTTAGTCATTACCTATAGTATTATTAGCCCACAGAGGCACGTAGGAATCATTTTGAGTCAACGATAAGAAAGTTAGCCACGGAAATAAAGGACAACTTAAATGTAATAAACACTTATAATAATTCTCCGTTTTACTTAACGATAAAGATTCAGAGAATAAGGGCCCGAACATACAATTAGCACACATCAAATATTACGAGTATAATTGCCATTGATCTTTTGACGACTTCGATCTTTTAATGGCCAATATTTTGATCTTATAGTGGAATAGTCCAGAAAATGCGTTTGTAAATTAGTCGTGATGATATTTTTATTGTATTAATAATAAATAATGATTCATAACATTATCGTTTCCTTGTCTCGGTTTACTGTATTAAATTTATTTTTAATAGATGTATTCGTTTTACAACGACACAATTACTTGTCCTCTCTGTTGTTTTGTTACATAATAAAAGAGCATCATTTTTAAATTTACTCGTGGTAGGACCTCTTGAGAGTCCGCGCGGGTAGGTACCACCACCCTGCTTATTTCTGCCGTGAAGCAGTAATGCGTTTCGGTTTGAAGGGTGAGGCAGCCGTTGTAACTATACTTGAGACCTTCGAACTTATATCTCAAGGTGGGTGGCGCATTTACGTTGTAGATGTCTATGGGCTCCAGTAACCACTTAACACCAGGTGGGCTGTGAGCTCGTCCACCCATCTAAGCAATAAAAAAAAAGAAAAAAAAAGATCAGAAGTCATTAAGTCAGGAACCTTTTAAATTCCATAAGCAGTAGGTTTTAATTCTAAAGAAAAAATATAAATGGAACTTGAAATATTGCTTTAAAACGTTTTGGTCGATTGCGAAAGAGATAGCGAGATTTTCCTACGCATCAACTTATAATTAGTTTTCAAAACATTAATCGGTACGTGCCTACTATTAATATTGATATTATTTACACAACAATCCTAATTCAAACAGTGTTTGCTGTTTATTTAATTAATAAAAAACGACAATAGATTATTTAGAAGGGATCATTTGAACTAAAAATATTCTATCGATATACCCTACGAATTGAGTATTGAATTAGATTGCTTAGTTAAACAAGATTTAAGTGTCCGATGTCGCAAGAAGCGAAGGGACATACTCGTGTGAACTATTCGCCAAAGAGTTGTGCAAAATACAAGCACTTGGCACATATCCTTGAGCTATTAATTAAGGAGTAACGCGAAATTACACTTAAATATGAAGAAATTCTAGATTTGGAATGCACCTAGTAGTGTTGAATGCACTTCTATTGAATCTTTCTAGTGGTCCCGCAGTAGTCGTAATTCGACGAATTATAATTTATTGAAATTATAAATTTGAAAATTATTATAGTTCTATTGTCAACTGATCGTGAATAAATCACACTACACTATAGATCTCATGATAGTTACAACGGCTGCCCCACCCTTCAAACCGAAACGCATAACTGCTTCACGGCAGAAATAGGCAGGGTGGTAGTACCTACCTACCCGTGCGGACTCACTAGAGGTCCTAATCGAGTCGAGGTTTTTTCAAAATGCGCTATAAGTTTGATTTAATTTTCCAATTAACTATAGTTATACTAGCAGACGCGACAGACTTTGCCTGTCCTAAATCCGAAAATTTCCATGAATTCAATTTTGTTTACATAATAATAACTTATTAAAAAGCATTTTTAGTGGACTAAATTGTAAATCTAAACCCTCCTCGAATTCACATGAACACACGCAAAGAATTCATCAAAATCGGACCAGCTGTTTAGAAGTTCTCTAACATACATACGGTCAGAAGAATAATATATACTAGAGGTCCCGCAGTAGTCGAAATTCGACTATAATTAATTGGAATTGTAAGTTTGTACACTATTATGATTGTATTTTATACTTCTATAATCACAAATTTCGCCAAGACTACACTATAAAAAATTATTAAGAAAGACAAACCATATTCTATTCTCAATTTGACAACAGATGTCAAGAACAAAAGTTTGACAATAGTATGCATGCGTGTGTGCGTCAAATACATGGTATGTAGTGTGCGTGATGTTTTCTTTATTGATTTAATGTATCTTTTATGCATTATTTTTAAAAATTCTAAGCTTTGTGCACTTCTTCTATATATTCTCTATAAGTGTGGAAAATTTCATAATCCTCCGTCCGCGCAATTTTCTTAAAAAGGGATACAAAGTTTTTGCTTCACGTAGTAATATATAGATTAAGATTTGAATGTGCGAGTTTCTCGATAAAACTGTTTTAGTTCGTATGAGTTCTTCGAATGTATTTAGATTTGCACGTTCTGTCATTCTTGGCCGAATCACATGAAATTTCGTGTCCATTGCGACTTTGAGTGCAACGACCTTGAGAGAGAAGAGTAGGTATTTATTTTGCGATTGATTTAAAACGTGTCATTGTCAAATGTAAATTTTAGTCAGTTTTATTTTTAACTAGGTGACCCGGCAAACTTTGTTCTGCCTTAGAGGCAATAAATGAGCAGACTTTTGATTTTATCATGATCAATTTCTTATTTGGATAATTAATATAAATTAAAATAGCAAGTATTTTAATGATACTTTATTGGCCATGTATTTTGGTTGGTATTATTATTATTGTATTTTCTTGTTCTTCTTCAGTCCTTTCACTCGCAATGTTTCGAATCCTAGTTGCATTACGGGTTCGTCGGGAAAGATTTGATAGTGCTGGTCGCGGCATAGCTTTCTTAATGATTACCTATTTCGGCACAATAAATAGAAATTTGAAACAAACACATCAACCGGTCAACTTCAAAATTCTACTATAACTAACCATAGAATATATTACGTTTAGCTGTCAGTTGCGTTTTGTTATTCCATATCAGTTGCGTTTTGTTATACCACGTTTTATGTCACGTCCCACGGGAACGTGATAAAAAGTATCCTATGTCCTTCTCCTGGTTTTAAGCTACCTCCTCACCAATTTTCAGCCAAATCAGTTCAGCCGTTCTTGAGTTATAAATAGTGTAACTAACACGACTTTCTTTTATATATATATAGATGAATTAAACGATAAAATTGATTGCCCTTTTTTATCCACCAAGGTACCGTGATGATAAATAAATATCGCGGTTTTCGTCATAAATTATTGTGTTTTCATTCAAAATGTATTTAAACAATTTTCATAATCAAACCATCCAACGTTCGAACAAAAATAAGAAAATAATAAAAAATATTTTATTTATTTATTGTATAGTTGGGTGGACGAGTTCACAGCTCACCTGGTGTTCAGTGGCTACTGGAGCCATACAGGTAGACATCTACAACGTAAATGCCGCCACCCACATTGAGTTATGAGTTCTAAGGTCTCAGTATAGTTACAACGGCTATCCCACCCTTCAAACCGAAACGCATAGCTGCTTTACGGCAAAAATAGGCAGGGTGGGGGTACCTACCCGCTTGGACTCACTAGAGGTCCTACCACCAGATAAATTTTAATTCGTAACTTTTTCAGGGAATTCCGGAGTTGGACGTTCCAGGCATCGAACCTTTGAGTCTCGGACAAATTGCGTTGGCTAGAGGTCCGCAGGGAGCCAAGCTCACCGCTGTCGTCAACGACGTGAAAGTAAATGGACCCAGTAACTTCGTTATTGAGGAATTGAAGTAAGTATTTTCTTACCAAGCAAATTGCACCCCGTAAGCGGTAGGCAGCGGCTTGGCTCTGCCGCTGGCATTGCTGAAGTCCATGGGCGACGGTAACACTCACCATCAGGCGGGCTGTATGCTCGTCTGTCTACAAGGGCAATAAAAAAAAGCACGAAACGCATTAAATTTAATATACTAAAATGAAAATAATCAATCTCTTTTCCTTTTTAACTAAGTAATAATCAATACGAGCCGGGCCGTCTGGAAGAGATCGCGTTTAGTCGTATGACCGTCTATTGTACCTACAATTATACTTGGCTCTTGACCTTTTTCAATATTATATGTGTTATGGTGTGCAATAATGTACACTCTTTGTATCTCTCTCTCTTTCTCGCTCTCTCTCTCTCTATCAGTCTTCGTCTTTCTCTCTCTCTTTCTGACTTTTTCTCTATAAATATCTAATTACTCTTGCTAGATGAGGTTGCAGTCTCAATTGTATTGCTTAACAATCATCCCCACCCTTTATACCCGAAGACATGGCTACTCGGGTAGCTGTTAGCAAATCCCACCCCTCCTGGCTGAGCCCGTGCTCGCCCACACATGTCCTGATCAAACTGGAAAGGCCTCCGGGTCACCAGTAATCCTTCAATCATATAAGAGAAAAAGAAGACTTCTACGCTGCAGAAATATACCTACTCATGCGAACTCACAATGTGTCCTATCACAAGTGAAATTGTATAAAATTGTCAATAGTTCAAATCGAAAATTATAGTGAAGTGTTAAATAAAGTCCACGGCGGAAGTCTTGTGTTGAATACATCTAGTTCGTCTCCGAGTCAATAAATTAGCCATTAAAACGGGAAACAATAAGAACGATATTAAGATAGATGTGACAATGGATTTGTTATCAGTAATAGACAATTGTGTTTTCCGTTAAGAATATGTTGAGTGATACAGTTGGAATGTGATATCCAATATATTACTATGTAAGCACTTGAGATGAATTCATCAGCTTCTTTTGTACCATCGCATCCCCCGTCAGCACAGCAGAGTTCATCCACACTATTTAGAACCACTGTATTAATCCGTGGGCTTCCAAAGACTTTTTTGTCACGTACCATCCGATTTAGGAATGAACTTGTGTCGCCTGAGCGCTATACATGTTTTTTATTTATTTATTGTTTAGTTAAGTAGACGAGCTCACAGCCCACCCGGTGTTAAGTGGTTACTGGAGCCGATAGACATCTACAACGTAAATGCGCCACCCACCTTGTGATATAAGTTCTAAGGTCTCTGTATATATTAGTTACAACGGCTACCCCACCCTTCAAACCGAAACGTATTACTGCTTGACGGCAGAAATAGGCAGGGTGGTGGTACCTACCCGTGCGGACTCACAAGAGTTCCTACCACCAGTAATTACGCAAATTATAAATTTGCAGGTTTGATTTTTATTACACGATGTTATTCCTTCACCGTGGAAGTCAATCGTGAACATTTGTTAAGTACGTATTTCATTAGAAAAATTGGTACCCGCCTGCGGGATTCGAACACCGTTGCATCGCTCGATACGAATGCACCGGACGTCTTATCCTTTAGGCCACGACGACTTGTTGTACTACTACTACTACTCGGAACTACTGTCCGATTTGAAAAATTCTTTCAGTGTCAGATAGCTCATTTTTTGAGGAAGGCTATAGGCTATATAACATCAGGCTAAGACCAATACAAACGGAGCACCAATAAAGAATGTTTCAAAATCGGGTTCTTTTTTCTTTCTACCTAAATTAAGTCGCAGGTAAATTTTTGCGTTATGCCAAAGTAACTACCCCACGCGGACAAAGTCGCAGGCAAAAGCTAGTTATCTTATATTTCTAAGATGTGTAGGTATTTATAGATAACTAGCCTGTTAAACGCTTAATACTAGGTGAGCCTAAACACGTCTCTACATCTAAATATTTTTAAGCCGTAGTCACATCGTATGATTTTTTTTTCTTTTTTTCCTATCTATGCTGATGGTCTTGAGAGACCATTTCAGCGTAACCTTAATAAGTAGACGAGCTCACGGGGCTCAAATCTGACATCATTGCTAACACTAATCCTAGCAATAGTAATGCTTCGCAGAATCTACCACCGGATCGGAAACGCGACCCACTGCGTAGGGTTGTGTTTGTGGGTTAATTTACTCGCCGGGCCCTTCGTCAAGCAAGCGACGAGTTCGACAAGAATGATAACCGGACTCGTATGAAATGACTTTCAAAACCAATACATTAAGTCGTACGTTTTATTGTGTTGAGTAATTCATGCACGTATCCATAGCAATTGCCTTGCCCCCGATCGGCAATCACCCCGCGCCGGCTGGTGAACTATTAGTTTTTTTTTCCTTACCTAAGCTGATAGCCTTGAGAGGCTATATCAGCGTCGCCTTAACTAGTAGGTGAGCTCACGGGGCTCAAACCTCATAACGTTGCTAACACGAACCCTAGCAAGAGCCGTGCTTGGCAGAATCTACCACCGGATCGGAAACGCGACCCACTGAGAAGATCCGGCGAGAAACTCAGTGGGCTGTGTCTGAGGGTTAATTTACTCGTCGAGCCCCTAATAGTTAATGTATATCATCTGTGTACATTATATAAGTTTTTATTTGTATTTCAGGTCGGATTTAGATAACAATCGTTTTGATTTCAAATTGCTACTACCGAAGCTGGACTTCAACGGGAAATACAAGATGGATATTCAGGTGCTGTTACTGCGGCTGCAGGGTCGGGGTAACATCACAGGAACGTTTAGTAAGTATCCATATATGATCGACTTCGATCATGGAAATTTGAACTATATTATTAGGATCTTAAACATCACTTTTCCTCGAAATGCACTAGTTAGTTATAATGCGTGTAATGGAACGTGTCGGTGATAAGTTCAATTGGACGCTAAGTTTTCAAGAAGGATTGGATTGTGGCAGGAATTAGCATCGCGATATTAATAATGAACGCGGAATTACAATACGGTCTAAGCGTATGTACTGAACTTAAAAATGAAGTCAGGGTCTCTTTCGATTGACAACTGAACCGAACTACCATTAAACTTAGGTGGTTGACTATCTAAATGGCTTCCCTAAAAATTTTCCATATTTCAATTCGTTCTGATTCTGTTCGAGATGTTAAAACTATGCAGGGTTTAGACGATCGTAAACCTGCTAAATCAAAATCAAACACCAACCTCTAAAAATGGTTAAAAATACTGAATAGTTTGGGCATATTATTACATTTTCGTTTTCATAGCTCGCATATTCTGGAGGTCGATGCGGTCAATGAACCATTTCATAGAAAACTCTGTTTACGTACTAATTTGGCTTACAATAATTATTATTTTACTTTTGTAAGCGTGTAATTTTATTAAATTATTTGGAATTTGGAATAATTTATTTAGTAAACTTCTAAGAATTTAGTAAAAAAGTCATAGAATAGTAACCTAGTTTTGGTTTAAAGCGGTGTCATTGGCTGTAATCGCTCGACGAGTAAATTAACTCTCAGACACAGTCCACTGAGTTTCTCGCCGGATCTTCTCAGTGGGTCGCGTTTCCGATCTGGTGGTAGATTCTGCGAAGCACGGCTCTTGCTAGGGTTCGTGTTAGCAACGTCATCAGGTTTGAGCCCCGTGAGCCTACCTACAAACGTTAGGGTTACGCTGAAATAGCCTCTCAAGGCTCTCAGCTTAGGTAGGAAAAAAAAAAAAGGCTGTAATCTGTACACGATGACCTAATTATTGGTAGCCTAAGTCGGTATTCCGACTACGCGCTGACTATTAATTAGGTGAGCTCACGGGCTCAACCTGAGAGAATTTGTTAACAAGAGCAGTGCTTCAGTGCATCTACCACCGGATCGGTATCGCGACCCACAGAAAAGATCCGGCGAGAAATTCAGTGGGTTGCATCTATGGGTTAGATTGCACGACGAACTTATTTATTATCCGATGATTTCGACGAGAACGGTAACCAATGCTTTGAGAGGCAGTAATATTTACAAGAGACTAGCTGACCCGGCAGATTTCGTAGTGCCTCAATCGATAAATAAAAGATCTAAACTTTTGGGGGACACATTAAAGGAAAAACAAAATTGTTATTTTTAATTATTTCTGAGCATTATCATATTTATCTATCTTTTAAACCTCCTCTGGACTTCCACAAATAATTCAAGACCCAAATTAGCCAAATCGGTCTAGCCGTTCTCGAGTGTTAACGAGACTAACGAACAGCAATTCATTTTTATATATATATAGATAGACTATTTATCAACAAACAACGTAATATGTTGAAAAACGTAATGAAATTGCAATAACATATTTTTCGTGTCAAGATCAACAGGCTGTTACGAAGTTTTTTGTTACATCACTGCTTGTACATTGAACGAGTCAGATGCGTTCCAACGCAGCGCCGTGTTCGGAGAAAGGACAAACTTTACTGTTTATTATATTATATAGTTGTTAAGATTAAGAAACGTTATAGTTTTAGATCAAGTCTAACAAGATTCTACTGAAGAGTATAGTCATAAACTTCATACATTAAAAAATATATGATAAAGCCGCTAGGTGCAAGGAATAGCATTGTAACTCAGTTTTAGCTAAATGTTATTCCTTGCTCGTCTCGAAGTTTCATAAAAGTAAAGAACTTATGGAATAGGTAATCACTATTAAAATACCTGTTCCATATCTATGAAATAGGTATTGTTAGAATATAATTTATTTTCGATAATGCTAATCGTAGTTTTTTTTTATTGCTTAGATGGGTATGGACGAGTTCACAGCCCACCTGGTGTTAAGTGGTTACTGGAGCCCATAGACATCTACAACGTAAATGCGCCACCCATCTTGAGATATAAGTTTTAAGATCTTAGTATAGTCACAACGGCTGCCCCGGCGGCATACCCTCAAATCGAAACGCATTACTGCTTCACCGCAGAAATTGGTAGGGCGGTGGTACGTACCCGCGCGGAATCACAAGAGGTCCTACCACCAGTGATTACGCAGATTATAATTTTGCGGGTTTGATTTTTATTACACGATATTGTTATAATATTGATATCGATATAATGTGGCAAAAAGAAAACGGACGGTTAAAATTAAATTTCTGTTTTACAGGAGATTACGCTTGCAACGTCACTATGAGAGGGCACAAAGAGAAGCGCGGAGACGAAGAATACCTTCGTTTTGATCCATTCAAAGTCAAGCTTCGTGTCGGACAGTCCTCCATTTACCTTACGAACCTTTTTGACGGCGACCCGGTACTAGGCCCGGCCACAAACAGGGTGATCAACGAGAACTCTAATGTGTTCCTCGAAGAAATCCGCCCAGTCCTTGAAAGGAGTCTCGGAGAGCTCTTCACTGAAATGGCGAACAAAATAACCGCGAAATTCACTTACAAAGAACTATTTCCTTAGCGGTGTATCATAATTATTTGTCTTAATTTTTAATGTTTTAGTTTTTAAAGGTGTTAATAGAATTTTGTGATTCGAATGTTTTCCGTACGTGCATTTGACTAGATAATATTCTACCAGTGGTATTGGTTAGTAAGCATTGAGTTACTTAAAAAAACATACACATAAAAAGAATAGGTTTGAAAAAAATAAACGTGTGGCACTCGGGAACTGCCGCGGTAAAGCTATTGCATAGCATTTTTTATCAACTTACGCAATTATAATTAGACAATGATAATTTAATATTAAAACAATAATAAAACAAGACCACGCTATATTAAACATTAATAAAAGCAAAACATTAACTGTCCCCTTCACACTAATAAGCTAGAGAGAGATGGGCAGACTTTTCATGATGCGCATGCAGTATGATGTCACGACACGCGCTTATTCACAAACACTACACAAGCGCAACGTGTGAATGTGTTGAACGCGAGCTACAAGGTAGGTGGAGTGAGGGGTGTTAGGTTTTTTTCGTTACGGAATTTCATGATTCGGTCGCCGCGCTCAAGGCCCGCGATAAAAGCTATGCAATAGCTTAAAAACCCACATAGACACTTGCAAAACTTGAAAATTTTCAATATTTTTACGTATTTTGTTTAAATATTAATTTTGAAAACATATATTTATTTATAGCCTCTGTTTAACGAAATTTATTATTATTTGTTTGTATACCGCGCTTGCATAAATTTATTCGGATTATCTTTGCGTGGTATAGTTGGGAATACTCATATAATCAATTGTGACTTCTGTTATAATGTTAATTGTACTTTATCCTTTTTAATTAAGTAAATTAAATGACAACTCAAATAAGAATCGAAACATCAATGTAATTTATGTATTTCTGAAGATAAGCACCATGTAAATAAATCTTGCTATATTTTACCTCTTTCGTTGTCTTTTTGACGGGAATATGTGTGGTTTAGTTAAATGAATTGTTTTAAATTTCGTCAGGATTAAAACTGTAACAAAAGTGGTTTATTAACCTCTTCATGTCTGTGTAAGTGCCCAAGTGTGGGAAATGAAATGTAATCTATGGCTGCGGTTCATGTGTTCTTTCATAAAATCCGTTGTGGTCTCAGTAAATTGCCAACAATTTTATTCCGATACAATTTATTCCATATCCCATAAGTATTAATTCAAATTAATTAATTTCATTCCATTTCACTTCATTGTTTCATAGTAGACATGGCTTTGACCTTTATAACTAAAGACTTGAATTTATAGGATCTAATTAAACAAAAAAAATCTGTTCCGATTTTGTTATGTCAAGTAGAAGTAACAATTACACCCTGTATATGAAAAAGTGTCCGGCGAAAGCGACCTATTAGCATGGCGCCACTGTAGCAAGAAGTGAATTCAACTTTGCATATTTCACTACATTTACAACTGCTACATTACATTCCATATCCCGCCACTTGCTATGCTAGCGCTATTTTGTTGGGTTTTAGAGAAGTTGTTTTCTGCTTACAGCTATCTGGATGGATTTTGATTTGTTTTTCTTAATTAAAACACCTTTACTTACGGCCTTTATTGATATTGTCTGTGTTCTGAAGTTAGCTGTAAATTTTAAGTAGTAGTTGTATTTTTTCAACTGGAAAGGCAAAGGTGTTTATACCATACAACCTAATCTTTTGTATATTATTTTTTATGGAAATGATATTATAGAGCGAAATGCAGTTAATTAATTTGAAATATTAATCAATTGGCATGAAATGAAATAAAATCTTAGTAAAATGGTGGTTATTTACTAAAATAATCACAGATACTAAACAGTTAATAAACCATCGTTAGTACACATATTTAATCTTCAAAAACCACTAAATGGAAAAAACAAAAAAAATTACACAACTTCGCTTCTGGCGTTCCCGCCAAAAAGTCCTTTTATTGTACATTTTGAACTGTCAACGTAAAATACTTAAATACAAAGGCCACAAATAAGAGAACTAAGAAGAATGAAACTGATTTTCATTCAAAAGTCCTTAGAGATCGTAGTATTGTTAATTTGTCATATTAATTTGTAATCGCAGAATGACAAACGTATTATTGTTTATCCTGAATTCAGTGTGAAACTTTGTACTCTGTACTATTAAACCTAAGATTATTTACTCTTTAAATCATATAATTGAAACAAAATTATTTAATTTTATTAATCATTTTGTATCTTTATGTATAACATGGAATGACCAGTAGCGTAATTTATTGTAAGCTTGTAAATATTGGTAAATAAATAAATCCGGTGATAAATATACTTGTATTAGTTTTGACTTCATTGTTTAACATCATTGAGACTGACCTCAAGCCTCAAAGTAGATGAGGGCATTAACGTTGTGATGTCCATAGGTTCCGATAATAACACATAACAGCTTATTAGGCCGTGATTAAGGAACAAGAGCATTCCGAGTGAGAAAAAGGATTTTAAAAATGTTATTGCTGTCTCATCCTTTAAATCTTCCCGACTGGAGCATGAAAGAAACAACTTTATTTTAAACTGAAAATAACCAAATAGAAGGCGTAAAATCGAAATTGACTTTTCACACTGCCTTGTTTCTTTATCTAAATTTTAATTGATTAATTATTTAGATGAAAACAAACATTATAACAAATGTTTTACTTGGATCTTTTTGTAGGTTAGGTGGGTAGACGAGCCGGCGGCCTACCTGGAGTTAAGTTGTTACCGGAGCCCATAGACAAGGCGACGTGAACCACCTTGGAACTTAAGGGCGAGGTTTCGATTGTGCAGTAAAAGCTCCTTATTTGTGCTTCTTTAATTCCCGTTTTCACCGTGTTTCCGATCCGGTTCGCGATATTCGTTTGAAGTAAGACGTTACTAATGAATAAATGCTACTAACTAATTAATTGTATTTATCTTTTTCAATGTACATAGGTATTTAGGAAGAATATTGCCCCATTGCTTAGGTGTCTTCGAATCTCATTTTTATTTACTTGTTCGTTTCTTTGAGCATCACGCAAAAAATAGACAAAGAACTGATTTGGATTAGAATATTTGTGGTTAAGACTAGAATGAAATATTAATTAACTTTTACTAGCGTTCTGGTTTTTTGAACCCGCACGGAAATTATCTTCCAATGGATTTTTGGAAATTGACTGGAATATAAATGATCATAATGTTATCACAGCTTAGGAACATCACAAACTTAATGTTACTGCCGAATTTGATACTTTGAATCGACTTTCTAACTTTTTATTAGCTTTAGCGATGAGAATTTTTATATAATCGTATTAATGGGCTTCCAATGTCTCTGAGCATCACCTTATACCGACCTCGTTGGAGGAATGCCCTAACTTTTTTGTTGCTTAGGTAGGTGGATGACCTCACTGGTCATCTTCTGTTAAGGGGTTTCTGGAGCCCATAGACATTTACAACGTAAACTCGCCACCCATCTTGAGAAATGAGTTGTAAGTTTCAGTTTTATAGCAAAGCGTCTGCTCTACCCTTCGAAACGGGAGGGGGAGGGTAATGGGAGAGATGTGCTCCGCACTAAACGCTTCACTCTCCCCCCTTTGCCTTTTCATGAGTTCTGTCTCATGCGAAACTTGGACGTGGGTTGTTAAGCGATAGGAGGTTTTAGTCGGTTTGATTCCGACATGCCCCGCCCGCCATCCCCAGTGGTGGGTGGGAGTCCGGCGATTTCCTCCTGACCATAAAAAATGTACTGAACCATGCATCCGATTGACTTGAAACTTGGTATCTATGCAGAAAATACATGTACATAATGGATAGGCTAATATTTATATGAGTGTTGGACTCCCTAATGATAATGACAATAAATAATAATGTTAATTTTAAATCCCCAGCGAAGCGGACGAGTACTGCTAATAATTAATAAAACTCCTCTAACATAGACGCGTATGTAGAACTCCAATATTATAAATTTGCAGTTATCTTAATTGCAACGAACAAATCAAAATCTAAAACTAATCCGTGTCAGTCATAACAACGGTTTCGTTCTGAATAACTGCAAGCGTTGCGTAATGCAAAAAGTACCAATACAATTTGATCTGTCAAAGCTCACGATTATTATATAAACAGATATCTATTCAAAATGGACCTATGCTCGTTCAGCATAAATTGACCTCAACTATCAAGCTGGTTACACACAAATAGAGGTCTATCCACGTCAACGTTATAACCATTTAAGCTTGATACCTAAACTGAATGAGTCGATATGAAAACGGCCGTCTATTAAATGTTGTCCCGTTATACAAGATTGCGTAATGTTATCATGGCGGAAACACAAGCATAGCGCTGCGTTGTGCAGTTTAGCGCATAAGTTTGATTAATGAGTTGTCGTTTCATTAAAATTTGTTAATCAACAGTAAATGTATTTAAAAATAATATCGTGCTACACACAACAACAATATACTTTATTTCACTTGAGGCACACGAATATGAGATCTTTTGTATGTGCACAGATAAGGTATAAATAAAAAAGTGTGTGTGTCCGCTCCGACGCACGACTGGAGTTTACTGGATATAAAAAATTAAACGAAACAATACGAGAAATAGTTCTATATTACGACAACACGATACACTACAGATTATTAACAAATTAACGAGACACAAAACAAACGACTAACAAATATATGAAAATACAATAATGAGAGAAACGCGCGATCAGTACGAGGCTTTGTGGCGGACTGCCGGCGCAGCAGCCCGGCGTCACCTGCGATAACGCATTTCGTGTGACATGCGCAATCAGGCGCATAACGCATTTCGTGTGACATGCTAGTACGATTTTGGTCCCCATAATTTTCATACCCCGGGCCTATATATGTAAATCGATTCTAAAGGAGTAAACTCCAATAAATAAATAAATCACAAAAAAATTCTAATGAAAAGTAATGGTTATAAACATTATATCACTAGCTGACCCGGCAGACTTCGTAGTGCCTCAATCGTGAAATAAAATACCTAAACTTTTGTATAAAATAAACTTAAATAAACAAAAGGAATCCGTATTTATCTATAGTACCTTTTAAACCTTCTCTAGACTTCCACAAATAATTCAAGACCAAAATTAGCCAAATCGGTCCAGCCGTTCTCGAATATTAGCGAGACTAACGAACAGCAATTCATTTTTATATATATAGAAGATAGAAGATTAGCAGAAAAACGATAATTAGGCACATGTCTCCAAGACCCGTTGAGCGACTGGTTCTGCGCTGTTTGTATCCAGGAGAATCCTGCGACGTTCATTAGGGTTTCGGTCCACTTGGCGCTCCAGTAACATAAAATATCACCTTACCATTTCTGAATCTCAGTTGGCTAATGTTATGTTGAGTTATTTTAACAAACATAATTTGTAAATTATTTAAATTAAACATTTCCTTGAAACAGTATTAGGATGTCTTTATTTGAATATTTTTGTTAGTTTCCCGGATACACGGGTCGACTGACCGCCTTTTGATTCGAACTAAATTCACAACGGCGGTAGCTGGGTTTTGCAACATAATTCACGTAACTACAGTTGTTTTTGTTTACGTATTGTATAATAAATGTACTGAAATTAAAAATGAAATTGAAAAAATTATAATCGTTCATTTTCTTACATGTTAATTGCGATTAAGTACAAAATCTTGTAAAGAAATACACGCCAATGCGAATGAAGGCTTAACTTGACGTTAAATCTATGTCAAGACATCAGGTATCTAGCTCTTAGAAAAAACTAGCTATGCCCGTCCGCTTCGGTGGGCATTTAAAATTAACATTATTATTTCTCACCCCCACAAAGACTCTCATTATTAACGCCCCCGCAACTGGTGTAGGTCCAACACTCATATAAATAGCCTATCCATTAAGTACATGTATTTTCTACATGGATACTAAGTTTCAAGTCAATCGGATGCATGATTCAGTAGTTATAACGGAACATCCGTAAAAACCACTGTAGATTTATATATTAGTATAGATTACAATTAATTAAACTCACGTTACAAAAAACAAAAAAATACATTAGTAAGGTTAGCCAATATATAAAAGGTTTAATTTAAAAAGAGTTCGATACATAGCAAAGTCGCATATTTTTGTCGCGAAGCGTTTAAGCGTTCAGTTCTGAAGGGTCCCTTCAGGCCCTGTCCTGTCCTGACGTGATAATTCAGCTCACACATTTCCTGTCTACCTAGAGTCGTGCAATATAGTCGGGTAATCAAATGTACTTGATGATAAAAACAAATTGATACAAAAAAGCTAACCTAAAATATACCTTAATATATTTGTATTTCAGAGAAGTTTTCAACATGGATGTTTTGAATTTGTTTTTTGTTTTTTTTTCCTTAAAAATTGCCCAATTGCACATTGAACGTAGGGGCGCGTTTCCCTTCTACATATACCAGTAATTCGGGCATCGGTGCACATTCACCGTTCGCCGTCCGACGGTTACCAACGTATACCTTAACAATAACAGCAGTAAAGCACAATAATACAGTACCAACAAATCCAATAATGAGAGTGTTTGTTTTTTTAATTTTGTATGCGGTCTCTGTTTATGGGAGAGTGACGCGTGAGTAATATTTTTCTTGTTAACATCTTGCCGGTGACGTTTCTTAAGATTTTTAATAAGAACAAAAAAATTAGCGAATGAAAGCCGTCTCGTTATTTGGAATAGTTAAAAATATCTGTAAGGTATAATTGCTTAGGGCAAAACAACCATAGCCCTATTGAATGTTTGACAAGACAGATATGACTGAATAAAAAAAGGGATATTTCGTTTCTGTTTGCAAGAAATGATTTTGAAGTACTGATATTTTGGTAAAGCTTTGAATAATAATTGATAATAATCATATTTAATAATTAAATTCACAGGACTGTTGTGTGTTTGTTGATCGTGTGTGTGCTATAATGATATAAGGTTCTTGATCCATTAGACTGTAAACATGGCAACATATAGTGCTTAGATATATTTCTCAGTAATACTAGCAAAGCTTTTTATTCCATTGACCTGCGACAAAGATTATACATACTAGACTAGACGCATGCAGCAGAATAATTTCTGCTCGTACCGTTTTCGCTTTCAAAGATTACCCAATTAGGTTTATTAGAATTAAATGTGATATTTTACATACTGTATAACGACTTTTTAAATACTCTACACATTGATGTATTAAAATATCAATTACTCTACAGTGGCAATTTACATATTGTACTGTGACATATAGATAAAAAAAAGGACACATATCCCTCACGAAGTCGTCGTGGCCCAAAGGATAATACGTTCAGTGCATTCGTATCTAGCAATACACCGGTGTTAGAATCTCGCAGACGGGTACCAATTTTTCTAATGAAATACGTACTTAACAAATGTTCACGATTGACTTGAAATTCGTGTAATAAAAATCAAAGCCGCAAAATTATAATTTGCGTAATTACTGATGGTAGGACGTTTTGTGAGTCCGCACGGGTAGGTATCACCACCCTGCCTATTTCTGCCGTGAAGCAGTAATGCATTTCGGTTGGAAGGGTGGGGTAGCCGTTGTACTGTAAAAACTGAGACTCGTATCACAAGGTGTAGGTGGCGGCACTTACGTTGTAGATGTCTATGGGCTCCAATAACAACTTAAGATCAGGCGGGCCGTGAGAGTTCTTCCCCACATTTAGGCAATAAAAAAGTGTGGAGACAACTGTAAACTTTAAGCTCTCCATGGTTTATTCCGAACATATTTCAACTTAAATTACTGAGCAATCTAAAACTTAATCCGTAGTTTTCAAGGCAGAATTGATCTCGTATGTGGGACAAGCCAGTAGTGCGCCTTATTTATCACTCGTTTACTATTCTGTATTCGTTTTATTTAATTCTACATGAATGTTTAAACTTTAAAGCGTGTCAGGGCGCGTTATACTTTTTAACGTTGTGTTTTATTTACGCTAAACAATTAAGGACTCTAATTTGAGGAGTTTTTTTCCTACCTATTAGTACCTATTCTAGTGACCTCGAGAGGTCATATTAGATTCACCGAGCGAGTAGGTGAGCTCATGGGGTCTATCCTGGGGACGTTGCTAACACTAGGCCTAGCAAAGGGCAGTGCTTGGCGGAATGTACTAATGGATAGGCAACGCGACCCAATGAGAAGATCCGGCGAGAAACTCAGTGGGCTTTGAGGACAGAGGATCGTCGATGTCTATTGACGCCTGCGAGCAATACGTCGTGAAGACGAAAACCTAAGTCAAACGAATTGCCAGACCACAATATATGTGTTATTAGTTCAAGGTACTGTTAGTTCTTACTGTGGGCAGACAAACTTTAATGACATTAAATAATGGTTGTAAAAAAAATTACGATAGTTAGAACAATACATTAATTTTAGCGAAAGGTTTCCGAAATACAGGCAAATAGAAATAAAAAAAAGTATTTCTTATTGCTTAGAATAAAAAAAAGTATTTATTATATGCTAGAACTAACAGGATTCGAACTACTAGCGATCATTTTAAACTACACTCGTGTGTCTTACAAGAATTCCAACCTTAGTACTTGTATGTAAATTTTGCTGAGGAAATTGAATGGGCACAAGGCTTTTTCCGCTTACTGCCCCCCCTACTTAGCGTGTGTTCATATATCATTTGTTGATAATCAGATGTTTGTATCAAGCCAATTGTCGAACGTCATTAGAGTCGTTTCCTCTATTCATTATTGTTTAGATTCGCTTGTCGATTAAGACCGTTTTTTTTTGTCATACCGTACCCGGAAAAGAGTATTGATGGCTTAAAGTATTAATAGCTTATTCTTATTATTTGGAATTATATCATTAAAATACGTGCTTGGGATTTCGTTGTCTTCATTATTATTATTTTATATTATTATAATAATTAAAATTAGGTTTACAATCATTTTGTTTTATAACAAACAATCTATGTACAAGGTTCTTATTATCATGAACTACGACAACATATAATCATGTTGTCGTAGTTCTTATTTTAACTGTCAACAACGAATATAGATGTCATATCCAAATGTCATTCCGCTATTACAACTGTCATAACAGATGACGTTTCGTCATTACCACGACAATATGAGGTCTGCTAAACTCAGTCGGGCAAGCTTGTGAGAGTGGTCGCGATTATGAAGTGTCTGTAACGTAACCGGCTACTGTTTTTTTTTTTGTTTTTTTTTTTCCATTCCTCGCTTTTGTTGGTATTACAGTTTCCGTAATTACTATTACAGAGCACGGCTGCTTATCAAATATTATTATAGGTTATATCACTTTCTGAAATATAAGGTCCAAGTTTTCAATGATTGAAGAAATAATAGAAGAAGTCCGCCGGTCACCGTCCTTGCCGAATGCGTCGCTTGCGACGAAGGGCTCGACGAGTAAACTAAGCCATAGACACAGCCCACTGAGTTTTTCGCCGGATCTTCTCAGTTGGTCGCCTTTCCGATCCGGTGGTAGATTCTGCGAAACACTGCTCTTGCTAGGGTCGGTGTTAGCAACGCTCCCGGTTTGAGCCCCGTGAGCTCACCTACCCGTCCGGACGTAAATGGAATAGCCTCATAAGCTACCAGTGAAGAGGTAGGAAAAAAATATCATTGGTTTTGTTGCAATGTGAATGTTTCTTGATACTGGATTGTATATATGTATGTAGATACTTGTAACCAACGATTCATATCGAACCCGGCGTCCCCGAGTCCCCTTTCCAAATAAAGTTTAAAAATCCCTACGTTATGCAGTGGTTAAGCGTTAATAGGTGAGATGACCGCTTAATATCGTTTGACCATATACGTGTATGAGTCTCCTTTTTTTGTCTACCTAATAGGTAGCTTAAGGAGTTATTCCGATTATGCGCATATGGGTAGATGTGCTCACTGGTTCATCGTGAGAAAACTTGCTAACACTGATCCTAGTAAGCTGGATCTAAACCCGGATCGGAATCACGACCCACTGAGAAGATTCGGCAAGAAACTCAGTGGATTGTGTCTCCACGGGCCTGCCATCTCTGGCAATAAAAGAAAATTTAAGAAATGAGTAGTACGGGTCTATCATACTGAACAAATATACTACGTATTACACTATCTGTAATATTTAGGCCAGAGTAAAAAGAAATCTGTATCTTATTTAATTAATTTATACCTTGACCAACATCCAATTGAAACTGACATAAGGCGTAAATTTGTTAATTCCGATAACTAATTCAAAATCGAATCAAATTTGGTAGATAATTTCCAGAAGGTTGCGTGTCTATATCAATACTTGGTGCACTACTTTATAGGAAACCACAAAGGGAAGGTCTTCCGACCGATCTGGCGTGGGTGTTTAGTATCTGTATATGTTTATTTTTAAACATTTCCATTCTATCAGCCCACAGACGTCTACTGCTGGACATAGGTCTCCCCCAAGGCTCTTCACAAAGATCGGTCCTGCGCTGTCTGCACACAGCAGTGGACGTCTGTGGGCTGATAAGTAGAAGAAGACAATCTGTGATTTATCCAAGATTTTTTGTTCGATGTCTCCCAAATATTTTTCTTCCGAAGTTGTATGTAAGATTTTCTTGAATACCTCGTTAATGCATTTTTTGCATTATAAGTATGTTGTAACGTGATGAGGAGGCGTCCTAAAAAGGTTTGGATGAACTGTGTGAAAGAGAATATGTGAGATGCGATTGTGCCAGTGCAGATATGACGTATGATAGACGTGAACGGAAAATGAGGACATACTGGACCGACTATTCTACATATAGTGAGATAAGGGCAAGAAAAAGACCATGTTGTGCAAGAAGAAGACCATGTTAATGCAATTTAGCTCCTAGATAAAATTATTTTATTCTATGACTAGTGAAACCTGGTCACGCTTTGGTGTGACTTTCGCCAATTATATGAAAAATATCACCTGTTCTGCGTCAATCGAACTATATAATAGGTATGATGTTACGGATACGCTTTTCTGATGTATAAGCTATATTTATATTATTACATTGAATTGTCATGAAAATCCGTTCAGTAACTTTTGCGTGAAATAGTAACAAACATCCATAAGCTTTTGTGTTCACTCTTATTAATATTAAAAAAATAACTAAAGCAACACTAAAGATATCGAATTCAATCAAAGTTGTCTTTTTCAAATAAGACTTTTCATTAACATTTTAATGTTGATCTAAATATAAATCCTTATACTGCAGGAGACAATGACGATTCTCAACAAAATACTGATAGGCCATAAAACACTATCAGAGCATTTAAATCAAGCAAGATGTGTTTTACTATTGTTACAATTACAACTAGTGTTAAACTACATTATTTGCGTAAACTAAAAAAAAAAACGGTATCTAACAAAACATTGATGGTTGTGACAACGTCTTCCTTTATAAATTTACAGCCGACTTCTTTCCTCAATGCAAGAGAAGCGATCCACAGATAGACAAGTGCGTTTTGGACGCCGTCGAGACAATGAGGCCTCGTCTGAAGACGGGCATTCCTGAAGTCAACATTCCGCCTTTAGACCCCTTCATGGTGCCAACGTTGAAACTGGACAGGACTGCTCCAAATCTGCGATTGAAAGCCACGATCAAACAAACTAAAGCCTTCGGGGGAAGTAACTTTAAGATTGAAAAGTTGAAGTGAGTATTATTTTTTTCTCCTACCTACACCGAAAGTTCGGTTTTCTTCCCGCTGTACAGGGAAGAAAGTGTTACATTTCCTCCCTGGGTACTGACAAGTGCGCATGCGCGTTAGTATCTAAGTCTGCTCTCACGCACCTGAAATACTCCGCCATTGTTGTGCTTGGGTAATTTGCAATATTGAGTTTAGTGTAAAAGTGAAATAAACAAAAGGCAATAAAATTTTATAGTGAAGTATTAAACAAAGATGAGTACATCAGACAGTTCTTATTCAATTAGTAGTCGTTTATTTAAAAATTAAAAAATAGTTAAATTGTTTTTTATAAGTAAATGGGGGGCTTCCGCCCCCCCCTACTCCCCGCCAGGGCTTCGCCCCTGGACCCCGCGTAGGAGAAAAAATAGTATATGCACCGCGGGAAAAAAGTAGGACATCTCATCCCGCATCCTGCAATTTTACACGTGGGAGGAAATGTCCTACTTTTCTCCCTTGGTGCACAATGTACTATTATTTTTGTATTTGCGATGAGGGGGTGCGGTTTCATACTGTAGTGAGGCATCGCCGCTCCCTTTGAGGTGTGAGGTTGAAATTTCAATTGCATTTTAAAATTGACATCATTTGACAGCGGATTAAATGGTACAACATACGTGGAAATGATACCTAAATTTCTGAGCTGATAACGCATCCTAATACCAGCAATTTTTCATTGTTTTTGGTTACACAATGATGTCAGTCGTCAGGTTTTCCAATTCTTGTGGTGTGTTTTCATTAGAAAGATTTTTTTTTAAATTTTTCTTTCCTCCCCATATGCTATTTCATTGAAAAAGTCCATATCGTTTATAAAAATAAATTTTAATAATTTTAAAATTTAAATAAATTTTAATTTGAATTAAAAATGGTGTAAGAAAAAACGACTTTATTGTAAAAACATCGTATTTTTTTTTATAATAATATTTATCGTGATTTACTTTATTAACTTGTTATATCCCTTTCAGGATTAACTTGAATAATAAGTACACAGGGGAGATTAAAATGGTTTTCCCAAAGTTGATGGTGGTTGCGGATTACGACGTGCGTGGCTCTAGAATTCTCACCCTGGACATAAATGGAAAAGGAAAACTAAGAGGAGAATTCAGTATGTATTTGGTTAAGTAAGCCACGTAGATTATTGTTTATTTAAAAACAATGAACTATTAAAAAGGTCCTTTATTTGGTTTTTCGTTATTGATATGGACCGAAACTCATCTTCCACTCGATGTTCAGCGATTACTGGAGACCTTAAATAGATATGATCTCTTAAGCGAAGGTCGCAGAATCAGCCACTTTAAATAATATATCCTACCTTAACAGGAGACAGGTTTGCATCGCAGCCCAAACGGGCAAGGCGAGCAGTTCGATTCTGTTTTACGTGCTTTGAGATTTTTGTATCAACGATTACTTAGATCTTTTCTTAAGCAAACTTTCGCCCGTGTTGAAATTTCAACTCTACTTTTAAGACCTTAAGCGTTAAATAAAATTTTTATTTACAATATAAACAGATACTCAAAATCGTATCGAAAGCTGATTAGGCTAATGTCATTTCATCTAAAAGTAATTATCCATCGAAATTGTTAATTAGTTGAACGAATAGTTAATGTTTGTTGCAGTGAATCTAGACCAAGGTTAGATCAGTCTCTGGGCGATTTTCTAAATTCAGCCAACTGTTTGTTTTATTTTGACCTGTCAGTATTATTTTCAGACTACCGAATAACTATATTAGAATGTAAAATTTCATTCTCTAATTTTAATCGAATCGACGACCGGTTATGTTCGTTTCAATGCATTTTTAATGGGTATTATCAATAAATTCAATTATTTGTATACATTTATGGTTGTCGTAATGAATTAGTTTACTTTTTCGAATTGTAATTTACCGAATTTTAATTTAAACCTTTTTGATTTATTGCAATCTTAAGCAGCTGCATCAATTGAACTATTTCACAAAAGATACTTTTGTAACGCAGTCAGATTTTTTTGAGACTTTTGCTAAATGCATTATCACTCATTTGTTGAAACAGTTCATGCGTCATTTGTTGCTCGTTGATATAACTAAGTAGATGTTTTCAAATCTCAGCAGGATCGAATAAATGGCAGGCTAGCTAGATGTATGGATATTATAAAGAAATAACTGTTACTTTATTATGATTTCTTTATTCTATCTAGCTGGAATAACAGTGGTTGCGAAGGGTCTAGCCAAGCCCATACAAAAGGACGGAGTTGAATATCTTCAGGTGGACAAGATTTTGACACGAATTAGAGTTAGTAATGCCCAGATCGGTTTCGATGACACGGAAAGACCACTGGCTGGTAAGTATCCAACATTAACAAACAATAAACTTTATTACACGAATGTAAAGTTTTTTACAAATGAAAAATCATTACCCATTAGGGGAAGGCAGCGGCTTAACTGTGCTTTTGGCATTGCTGATGTCAATGAGCTATTCGTAATTCAATAAACAAATTTAATTTGTTTATAAATTTCGAACTTAGAAATTGACTCTATCTTACTTTAACCTTGCAAATTCATGTTTAATTTCACATGATATCCATTGTTACAAAGTTTTACTTATAAAAGAAATGTAGTTAATCCAATAGGTGAACCTATTTGATATTACCTTTTTATTAACTTTTGGTATTAAATTAAATTAAATAAAAAAACAATAATTTACAGAATTTGCTTCATATTTTATTGTTCTATTTTTAATGACTTACAAGCCCACTATCGCGTTCAATTTAATAAAAATCGAATCTAATCTAATTAAAACTAATGTAATTCTAAATTCTTGTAGCCGCATCGGCTGCGTCATTCTTCAACTCGAGTCCTGGAGTCGTTCTGGACATCCTTAATCCTTTAATAGAAGAGACAAGTGCAGCCGTCATCAAAGCCTTCGTCAACAAGATCCTTGGAAACATACCCTTGCACGAGATACTCGTTGATGACGTACCATCCGCATAGAAAACTTCGGTATTATTTATGAATAGATTCGATAAGGATTTACTGTAAGTTCGACTTTTCGCAGAAATGCGGAATGTCTCCATAAACAAATTGAACAATGTTAAAACTATGTTTCCAAAGCCTTATGTTTTTTGATGGTTTAGTACGAAGGTTTTAGTACAATCGAAACAGCCATAGTTAAATTTTATAGACTTTAGAAATCGTTTGAGATTCCATAATACGAGAAATTACATCAAAGGTTATTTTTAGAAACTATAATCCTAATTTCTTCGACAGTAATTATCGCAATTAAGAAATGATGTGTTTTTATATTACGTTAAGTGATTGAGTTTAAAAATATGTAATTTAAACTCTATTTTAATAATCTATCTATAAATATAAAAATGAATTGCTGTTCGTTAGTCTCGCTAAAACTCGAGAACGGCTGATCCGATTTGGCTAATTTTGGTCTTGAATTATTTGTGGAAGTCCAGAGAAGGTTTAAAAGGTAGATACATATGAAAATGCTCGGAATTAAATAAAAATAACAATTGTGTCCCCCGTCGGACGAATTCCTTTTGTTTGTTTTAAGTTTATTTTATACAAAATTTTAGGTCTTTTATTTATCGATTGAGGCACTACGAAGTCTGCCGGGTCAGCTAGTATTAAAATAAAAGGGCTACAATAGTAATTGCTGTGATGAATTTGTAAATGGAAATTCAATTGTTTTTGATTTATTTGTTATTATTGGCCTTATTGGCACCAAAGATATTGTTTAGTACCTGTATGTATTGTGTAGCGTAAGTGTTTTATACTAAATTATGTAAGTTAACAAACAAATTTAGTGTTTTATTTATGTGTCTTTCAGGTATAACGTAAACAGAGACTCACAACTCACTATCAGGTGGACCATACGCTCGCCTGTCTACAAGGGCAATAAAAAAAAAACATAAAAATAATATTAATTGCAACACTCCCGGTTTGAGCCCCGTGAGCTCACCTACTAGTTCGGTGAATCTAGAATAACCCCTCGAGGTTACTAGAATAGGTAGGAAAATAAAAAAAAGATGTCTGATGATCAGGTTCACAGTTCGTTAGCTGTCGTCGAGCATCAAAGGAAACTTCATCTTGCACAGTAATTGTTAAAAGTAATCTATGGTAATATTACAAATATTAAAGATAGTAAGTCGGTCTATTTCGTTTGGTCGTTCCCCTTCCGTTTCCCTTGCACCACCAACCACTCAATGGAGTCTTGTCTATACATACATAGTAATATGTCGATATTAATTTAGGTTTAGAAAATTCCTGACAAAAACGTTTAAAATGAGCCTGTATACTTAGTCTGGCCATAAATACTGTTACAATTAAAAATAAACAAAATTCTATTGCAAATAACATTTATTACTTTTACAGTGTGTTAGTTTAATACATAAATATAAAACAATTTAAAGTATAAAAAGCTTATTCGAAGTGGTCTCCATTGGCTGCAATACAGTCCTTTAAACGTTGAGGCCAGTAATCAATAGAAGCATGCACTCTTTCCATGGGAAAATTTTTCACTGGCAATCGTACGGATTGTTTTAGGGACTCCAAATTATCATGGCGCTTAGAGCAAGCCGTACTCTCTAAAACTGACCATAAATCATAATCCAGTGGATTAAGATCGGGACTGGACGACGGTCAGTCTTCAGCTCTGATGAAGTCCGAAACGTTCGTTTCCAACCAAGACTGCGTAGAACGAGCTTTATGACCGGGCGCCGAGTCTCGCTGGAAGGACCATTCTTGATTATTGAACATTGTGTTGTTAAGGGACTTTACTACCTTCTCAAGAATGGTACAAATTTTTCTAATGAAATACGTTCTCATCAAATGTTCACAATTGACTTCCACGGTGAAGGAATAACATCGTGTAATAAAAATCAAACCGACAAAATTATAATTTGCGTAATCACTGGCGGTAGGACCTCTTGGGAGTCCGCACGGGTAGGTACCACCACCCTGCCTATTTCCGCCGTGAAGCAGTAATGCGTTTCGGTTCGAAGGGTGGGGTAGCCGTTGTAACTATACTGAGACCTTAGAACTTATATCTCGAGGTGGGTGGCGCATTTACGTTGTAGATGTCTATGGGCTCCAGTAGCCACTTAACACCAGGTGGGATGTGAGTTCGTCCATCCATTTAAGCAATAAAAAAAAGATCATATTCAGTATACGTATGTACATGTTAAGACAAAAAAGGAGTTTTAGTTTCCTCGATTGCAAATATAAACACAATTGGCTTATATATAAAAAATCCAAGTTCAAATTAATCATTCAAGCTATGCTCATAAGCACTGATGGTTACCTTACGCCATCCTTATATGGCGACATCAACATGTCCGTAACTTTTATAAGGAATAATTCAATGCACGATCCCTTAGATCGATTCTGTGTTCTACACCATCGTTAGTCAAAATGGGATATCGTTTGATTAGAGTGTTATTTCTTTGGGCTACTTTGGAATGTGTGTTCGCACGACATCACCCGATTTACCAGACTCATAATGGAAGAAATGAAAGTGAACAGATGCGTGAGTTTAATTTACCAATCCAAAAATATATTAAGTACTAGCTGTATCCGCCCGCATCGCTGGGCATTTAAAATTAACATTATTATTTCTCACCTCCACAAACATTCTCATCATTAACGCCCCCGTAACTGGTGTAGGGAGACCAACACTCACATAAATATTAGATTATCCATTAAGTACATGTATTTTCTACATGGATAACAAGTTTCAAATCAATCGGATCCATGGTTCAGTAGTTATAACGGAACATCCGTAAAAACCACTGTAGATTTATATATTAGTATAGATTCGTGTTTATACACTTTTATAGGGTGAGCGGAGTAGATTAAGCTTTATTGTGCATCAATATAAAATAAATGTAAATTTTATGCAAGGCATTATCCTTTTTTTGTGCTTAGATAGGTGGACGAGCTCACGACCCACCTGATGTTAAGTGGTTACCGGAGCCCATAGATATCTACAACGTAAATGCCGCCACCCACCTTCATACATCAATTCATACAGTAGAACAAATCTTCCAATGGGCTTGAAGGAGGTACAGTACCCAAGACACTGACTGCTTTATCTCGTTGAACAGCCAGACTCACTCTCTGTCCAAAGTGCCAGCCTTAGCATCACGTGTAGCCTCCTTCAAGCGTTTGGAGATTTCTGATAAAAAAAGTGTGTGTGTGTGTGTGCAAGTCACACACGGTAGAAGTGAAACTTATAAATAAGGTATAGATATAGATATACTGACTATCCCACTACACAGGAGCATACATATGTATGGTAGAAGATAGTGGGGATGCTACGAAGAGTCGCACAAAGAGGAGACCGAGAACGTCTAATGTGTTCTATCTCATTCTCTCGCCGGCTGACTCCTATACATTTATGTGTTTGTGTCTCTATGGTCTTATTTTTTCGTTTCATCGAGTTTGAAATCACAACGATTCTAAAGAAGTTTCACTTCAAAACAAAGATTGAGTCTTAATCTTCCTTAGCGCCAACATCGGTTTGCCACTATAGCGACCCGGAGGTGGCGGACTGCATCAAAGGGGTCGCGGAACAAGCTAAGCACCTCCTCGCATTGGGAATACCGTCACTGAACATCCAGTCTCTAGAGCCTCTCAAGGTACCCAGCATACGACTGCGTCAGCACAACGCATCCAATAAGAACTTTAAATATGACGCCTGGTTGTCTGAAGTCGCTCTCAGCGGGTTGACGAACTATACTGTCAATAAACTTGAGTTAGTATAATTAAAATTATTATTCAAACTTAATCTCGCGTTTTTAGTGTCATTATTGTCGTAGTTTTGAATACTTTATAGTTCAGTTTTGAGGTCAGTGTTTTGATTAAGCATTTAAATGATTTCCTTTATTTTATTATTATCCTTTATTTTAATGATTGGTCTTAATTTATTGACATATTTTTCGAGGAACGAGGAATTTTCTATCAAAATAATCAATAACTAAGTGTATAAGTACATAAATAGGAATTAATAAACCTAATTTAGGTATATAGAAATTAACTTCTATGTTCTTTTTTCTCTAGGCGATTGAATGAACTCACGGGTGCCCATGGACATCATTAATGTTAATACCATCATCAACTAAAAGACATAAAGACTTCAAGACATAAAGACAGCAGAGTTCAAAATCTTAGTTCTGTAGTACAACTTCTGCTTACGCCTTCAAACTGGAACGCATTAATGCTTCGCTGTAGAGATGGGCAGAGTTATGGTGCCTACCCCAACGGCCTCATAAGACGTCCTACCACCAGTAGGCAGTGCTCACACAATTATTTTTTTTAGTTAATAATTTAAGCAACAAGATATAGGCTTTTTGTCTTGTCGATTGTGATTTTCCCAGCTTACATGCTTAAAGTACCAATAATAATTATACCAGTGACTTATGGTGACTAAGCAATATTACGTTATAGCGTATATCCTGAAGACCTTAAAGTGACAGCGAACATTAGTTTGCCACGATTGGTGATGACCGGGGACTACATGGTAATCGGAGAATTCCAGATGCTTCCCGTTGAATCTATTGGGAAAATGGCTGCTAATTTCAGTATGTTTATTTATTTATTTTATTGACACAACCAAACGACGCATTATATCGAGGGGTGAGAAGTTATATGGATCTTTGTAATTAAAGGTCTGTTTTATTTGGCATTAGCATCAGCAATTGGATATTTTTAATAGAACTTCAGTAATGTTTACTCCATTCAAATAGCTGAACAATTTTTTTATATTATATTTTTTCTAACTTTAAACTTTAAATGGCACTCTTGTAAAGTCGCAAATGTCGCTTAGAAAAAATATCCTTTCACCCTTCGATGTATAGTTTGTATACGTCTAATTTTAAAACTATAATTAAATTAAAACTCTAAATTAAATATTAAATACAGATTGAGCTAGCATATAAGAAAGCATTCGATTTTAATAGTAAGATAAAGAAATAGTTTGCAATATAATCTCCTGGTTCAATTATAATAATTGTTTATTATTTGTTTGGAGTCCTGTTGAACTGGAAGTCCAGTTTGGATTTCCAAACTAAAGTTTTTGTTGGTGGTCGAAAATTGCAGTTGTTTCTGATTATTTTCATGTCTGGCCAATGTTTGATACACAATTGTTATAACACCAAAAGATTAACAAATATCACTAAGAGTTCGTAATGTTAACTCTAAGGATTTGAAGAATTTCAATATTATAAAATATTTTTTTGCTTTAATTTTTATGTTCTGTAGCAGTAGTCGTTCGGTATTTTTTTTAAAATATGTATTTTTTATTCTATAAATAGAAATACCTAATGAAAAGGCAGTCTTCAAACGGAACTGTGTATAGCTAATTTCTGAAAAAAGTGAATTCGACCTTACGCTTTTGGTACCTAGAACTAAATTCCCACATTTCATTAGGTGAGTGCATAATAGCTTTGGAAGCGTTAGGCGCCAGAGTGCACACGAGAATGGTGATAAGAGATGCAAAGGTGCGGCTTCGCTGTGCTGGTCCGGTTGGAGCCAACCTCATGGAAGCTCACTCGACAACCGACGAAATGGGTTTGTGACAGTGTTAATAGTTGTTATAGTTTTTACTGGTGGTAGGACCTCTTGTGAGTCTGCGCGGCTAGGTACCGCCGCCCTGCCTATTTCTGTCGTGAAACAGGAATGCGTATCGGTTTGAAGGGTGCAGCAGCCGTTGTAACGATACCGAGACCTTAGAACTCATATCTCAATGTGGATGGCGGCATTTACGTTATAGATGTCTAAGGGCTCCGGTAACTACTTAACACCAGGTGGGCTGTAAGCTCGTCCATCCATCTACGCAATAAAATTTTAAATAAAAACCATCATAGCCGTCTCTAGCTGTTTTACTACTGTGTACTTGTATTAAGGGTTGTCGGGTGGCACATATGTATTGTCACAAATGAATCAGTGCGCCATTTTTACTGTTCTTCAGAAATGGTAACCGACCACATAGTGAGCATGCACTCCGAGGATCTGGCCAGGGAGGTGCAGCCGGCCATCGAGACAGCCCTCGCGATGGTACTCGAAGATATCGCCAATAAATTCCTGAAGCACGTCCCGGCCGAAATGGTGTTCCCGAATTAGTAGCACACTAAAAAAAAAAAAAAAACCAAATAACTACATGTCCACATTAATATAATTTAATCTATATCTATATCTATACTAATATTATAAAGAGGAAAGATTTGTTTGTTTGTTTGTTTCGAATAGGCTCCGAAACTACTGGACCGATTTGAAAAATTCTTTTTCCATTAGAAGCCGACATTGTCCCTGATGAACATAGGCTACTTTTTTTAAAAAAAATTTTTTTTTTTTTTTTGGTTTCATGTGTGTTTTAATGTTTCCGAAGCGAAGCGAGGGCGGGTCGCTGGTTTATAATAATTTTCTTAGTTAATACAAAATTTTTATAACTAAATCTAGGCAATATTTAAACAGAAAATCGCTGATTGAAAAATATTTATGGAAACTTGACAAATGTACTCGAAAAATATTCGAAAAAAAAAAAGTATAATTGAACCCACCTAGTTTTGGTATTGGTGGTAGGACCACTTCTGAGTCCGCACGGGTAGGTACCACTACCTCGCCTATTTCTGCCGTGAAGCAGCAATGCATTTCGGTTTAAAGGGTGGGGTAGCCTCGTAACTATACTGAGGGACCTTAGAACTTATATCTCAAGGTGGGTGGCGCATTTACTTTGTAGATGTCTATGGGCTCCACTGACCACTTAACACCAGGCGGGCTGTGAGCTTGTCCACCCATCTAAGCAATAAATAAAATTATACACGGATTCGTTACATTTTTCTGTCTTCCTTATTGACTATAGTCTATTTTTATATAACTTACTTAGGTATAAAAATATAGATCTGAAACGGTCGCATTTACAATACATTAGAACCAATTAAATAGTTCCCAAAGCTCAGTACGAGATGCGTTATTTTAGAAAAAGCTGAAATAATAAATGTCTGACCGTTTTTTTTTTGTTAACGAAATATCTGGTTTAATTTGACAAAAGTAGTTTTTAAATTATTATTGACAAAATTAAAACCAATTAAAAAAGCTAAAATATTTATTTTATAATATGTGTAACACTTTTTTTTATCAAATAATTAATTATTTAAGAGTATATTAAATATAAAATATTAAACGGTATACGATTAATATTGTAATAATTTGTAAGTTAGTTAAGTTTTATGAATTGAAAATTAATTTATTCGTAGGCTTACAATATTTATAGTTTCCGATATTTATTGTCTGGCTCTAAACCTTATTGTGGCTAAACGTAAATAATACATACTAAATATTTCAAATGAATTGTATTTACGTTGACATTGACGAAACTATCTATATATTAATACGTGAAGCAAAAACTTTGTATCTCTTTTTACGAAAATTGCGCGGACGGAGGAGTACGAAATTTTCCACACTTAAAGAGAATATAGAGAAGAAGTGCAAAATGCTAATATTTTTTTTAATTATTGCATAAAAGATACATTAAATCAATACAGAAAACATTACACACACTACATACCATGTATTTCACGCACACACGCATGCATACTATTTATTGTCAAACTTTTGTTCTTATCGTCTGTTGTCAAATTGAGAATAGATTAAATATTGTTTGCCTTTCTTAATATTTTTTATAGTCTTGGCGAAATTTGTGATTATAGAAGTATACAATACAATCATAATAGTGTACAAGCTTACAATTCCAATGAATTATAGTCGAATTTCGACTACTGCGGGACCTCTAGTGTTAGGAAATTTGTCTAAATCGCCAACAACAATCTGACAAAGTTACAATTGATACGAACATCATTAAAGCGATCGAACAAATCTAAATGATAACCTACAATAAATACTTCATTGCTTTATTCGCTTAGACTCTCGCCGGATCTTCTCAGTGGGTCGCGTTTCCGATCCGGTGGTAGATTCTGCGAGGCACTGCTCTTGCTAGGGCCAGTGTTAGCAGCACTCTCGGTTTTGAGACCCGTGAGCTCACGTACACGTCAAGGCGAAGCTGAAATAGCCTCTCAAGGCTAACAGCAAAGGTAGGAAAAAAAAATCGCATAGACGACTCACTGCCCGTAATGATTGCCATCATCCTCCTTGACACACCAAATCGAGGTTTAATTATGTTTGCTTTAAATAACTTCCGTAAAAACTTCAAACTAAAACGTACGATTGTTTCCAGGCAAAAATAGAACATTCATTCTAAGTACCCATGCGGTCAGAATACGCCCTGCCAGTTAGAATTCTCGATATAAATCACATTAAACACTGATAACATCATAATTACCTTACTTTTACAAAGAAAAAGCCACATAATTAAAATCGCATTTTAAAAAACAAGCTCGTAATCAACCTATTACTTGGGAAATTGCGAAAGATTCTCAAAGTATGCCAATACGCCGTTTACTATGGCCTAGCGCGTTACATAATAAAACATTGCAACATAGAAACTGCTATACTGATTTGAGCTGTAAAGTAATGCGGGAAAAGCAGTATTTCGCGTACCTGCGTTTTTATTAAGAGGCGCCAAGTACTAAGCTAAGTGCATGTTATAAATAAAATAAGTTTAAAAAATAAACATAAAATTTGATTTGATGTTTTATTTTTGTTGATGCTTTTTATATAATATATTATTATTATGTTTAGAAAGGCGGACGAGTGGATGATCTACCTAAAACCTATTAAGCAACAGGAGTCCATGGGCATAGTAAGAATGGCGACATCTACTTCAAAGGCTTGAGGTCGAAATATCAATTGTATTTTTTTATTGCTTAGATAGGTGGATGAGCTCACGGCCCACCTGGTGTTAAGTAGTCACTGGAGCCCATAGACATCTACATCGTAAATGCTGCCACCAACCTTCAGACATGAGCTCCAAGGTCTCTTAGTTTATAGAGTACAACGGCTGTCCCACCTTTCCAACCAAAAGTACCACCAAGGTACCGTACCACCGTACTTACCTACTTCTGCCGTGAAGCAGTAACGCGAACCAAGCATACGTTTCGCTATGAAGATTTCGCCGTTTTATCTTTTTTAACAGACTTAAAAAAAGGAGGAGTTTCTCAATTCGACTGTATGTTTTTTTTTATGTTTGTTACCTCATAACTTTTGACTGGGTGAATTGATTTTGATGATTCTTTTTTTTTTAGAAAGCTGACGCTTCCCGTATGATCCCATTTGAATTTAATCCAGTTCTGATAATGGTATCCATGAGAAAACCATATAAGTCTTAAATTTGCATTAAGTACGTGCGCGACAAATACATAACTCAATAACTCAATATCACGCCAACCGATTTCGATGATTATTGTTTTTAGTGTATATTAATTTGTTTTGGAATCTCTTTTTTTTCTATTAGAAGTCGGTTTTTGTTAATGCATGTCTATTTACAATTATTCCAAATCCGCGTTTAAAACTTACCCAAACATACCAATAGTTCCATGTACGATAATATTTTGTGTAGAAATTAAAATACTTGTGCTTTATAGTATTAAAATGATAATATCGACCGTTTATTTTGAAACTGGTGTAAAGTCCATTTTCTTTTGTTTCGAGAAAATTAAAGGTTACTATATTTGTTGATTTAAAAATAGAGGCAAATCATATGAGGTCTGGCTATGCCACTTACCTCTGTCAATTGGACTTACACCACTTTCATAATCGATGATTATGCAATTTCATTTACCGACCGATTTTAAGTTGAACAAAACATGGGATTTTTTTTAGAAATTAAACACGGACTAGTTATATATAAAAATTTTACATTCAATTAAGCATGAATTACGTGATAGCTCATTTTTCTCAAAAATGGACTTACACCACTTTCAAAATAACTAGGTCCATATATAAATATCGCTTAAAGCAATTAATAGCACGTGGCTAGTAAATCCATCGCAACTAGCAATGCGAGTGTGTTAAAGTGCGCGCCACGTGTGAGTATTGCAACATTCCGAATGCATTATCATTATAGTCACATCGTGCAGTTTATATGATTATAACGCATTTATTTACGGCCGTCTGGTGTAGTGGTAAGTGACATGGTCACTACATAAGGGGGTCGCGGGTTCGAATCCCGCCAAGGGAAGATATTTGTATGATAAATATAAATGTCTTTTCCAGGGTTATGGATGTATATTAAATATAATATATGTATGTGTATAATAAAAATCTTACATTTATTTCCGTTATCTGGTACTTGTAACACAAGTTCTTTACGAACTTATCACGGGACCAGTTAACGTGGTGTGGCTGTCAGTAAATATTTATTTATTTATTATTTATTTATTTATTATTATTTATTTTCAAAATTAATGTATTCGAAGTAAAGTCATTGTAATTAAATTAAGTCGTAAACAAATATCTAAAAATTAAAAGTAAATGATCGAGCTGTTTTGTTTAAAATCTATTAAGTATGGATATGCAATAAATTAAAGGGTGTAAAGAGACCATTTACGAATTATAAACAGGAATAAAATACATGTTTAAGAATATATGTATACAATAATAAAGTTAGTTAGTAATAAAGTTAAACAATCATAAAATACTTAATTAGGTTTTCTGTACAAAGGTACTGTAGAAAACAAGATTTAAAGTCTTTATTTTCCACAAATTACGATTAAATAAATTACACAATTAAATAAAACAGAACTCGTCTTTTTTCTAAATGACAAAGAGCTCAGTCAATCTATGTAAGAAAAATCCTTTTTTTTTAAACTAAAAAGGTTTTATATGAAAATTACATAAAAAAGGTTTTTCTTTACTTTTTTCATACTATATATGTATTGTTAGAAGATGATGATGACATTGGAGGCGTGGCCTAAGTGACGTCAAGGATGGTGTGATGTCGGGAGGGCGCGTGGCGAGATGTTGTTGGAGGGGCGCGTTTGGGCTCGAGGCGCGTTGGCGCAAGGCATCGTTCTCTTTTGCTTGCGACAGTCGGGACGGACGGACGTTCACATCGTTGCACAATCGTTGTATTNGTCGGGACGGACGGACGTTCACATCGTTGCACAATCGTTGTATTTTATTATTCAAAGTTATTATTGTCAAAGTTTAGTTGTTGTCAAGATTTAGTTGCATTTTGTTAACCTTAGTTAATTTACATTGTTGGTTATAATTAAAGTGATTTCTGTCTAGGTTATATCGTTTATATATTTTTTTTAATAGTAAAGTTAGGGTGTTGATAATAGTATATATTTGTTTAAAAATTTTGAACTCAATAGATGTGGCATTACATTTTGCGAGCCCGCAATGTTACGCAAAGGTACCCGCCCTCGCTCTCCTTCGAGGGCATTGACCTTATGTATTGGTTAATTTATAATTATACCACATTACGTAAAACAATTAAATATCATTTCATCAAACACTGTGTATGGCATTTTTGGTCTTCAAAGTGACGAAGAAAGTACGAGCGAAATTTCAAAAAAGACTTGCAAATTAAGTGACTTTGCTTTACATTACGTCTTAATAAAAGCCAACATTTTTTTGTCTGGACGCAGAACTCTAGTGCACATTATAGAACCTATTAAATTCGTTTTATGACTCCACTACTGTGAGTAATTTCCTGGTAACCATTGAGTTGGCGGTAATTTGAAACGATCTTGCAATTAACTATGGTAGGCAGCGGCTTGGCTCTGCCCCTGGCATTGCTGAAGTCCATGGGCGGCGCTAACCACTCATCATCAGGTGGTCCGTATGCTCGTATGCCTACAAGGGCAATAAAAAAAAAACTTGATAGATTGTAAGTATATATTTTTTAGCATATAAGTATAGGCAGACCAGCATATTGACCAACCTGGTGGTGAGTGGTTACCGTCGCTTATTGATGCCAGCAATACTAAGGACATAGCCAAACCGCTGCCGGGGTACTCTCCACAAACCTTGCTTGGAGAAATACATGTTTAAGCCCACAAAGAACTCACAAGAGGTAAGTTCGATCGAAACTCTTACTGGGGGTAGGACCTCTTGTGAGTCCGCGCGGGTAGGTACCACCACCTGCCTATTTCTGCCGTGAAGCAGTAATGCGTTTCGGTTTGAAGGGCGGGGCAGCCGTTGTAGCTATACTGAGACCTTAGAACTGATATCTCAAGGTGGGTGGCGCGTTTACGTCGTAGATGTCTATGGGCTCCAGTAACCACTTAACACCAGGTGGGCTGTGAGTTCGCCCACCCATATAAGCAATTAAAAAAAACTCGGATGGTACGTGGCAAAAATGTAATCTGAAAACGCACCGTTGACGAACGCCCATTGCGTTCAACGTAAAAATCTATCTAAATTACATCTCCGCGCTCGATAAGATATTATAATGATAATTCCGAAACCTAATCATCACGTACGATTTAAATGTTATTTAAAATAAAATCACGAACTACCGCTACTTTTAAAGCAGTGCTCATATCTTTTTCTAATCAATAACAACATGTTATGTATTTTTTTATTAATTTGTGCTATAAGTTTATGTGAAGGAGACAATAATTTTATAAACTGTAAGTAATTCAGTTTTCTACATTATTTTATTGTACAATGTTACTGTCAATGCGCTCGAGAAGATCTTTAAAGCGACATATGAGAGCTCGTAATTATGTTGCGATCATATTTTTAATTCTGATTATAATTATAGTTGGTGGTTTTATATGTCCGAGAGAAGAAAAGGCGTTGGGGAAATGTCTGAAAGACGCTTTGAACGAGTATATCCCTAAATTAGCCACAGGTACATACGCTTTTTATCTACTATGGTCTTAATTTATTACATTACCTTGCGTTTATCATACGCAATTTTGTCTATGAAATTATTGTTATCTATCTATATATATATATAAAAATGAATTGCTGTTCGTTAGCCTCGCTAAAACTCGAGAACGGCTGGACCGATTTGGCTAATTTTGGTCTTGAATTATTTGTGGAAGTCCAGAGAAGGTTTAAAAGGTAGATAAATATGAAAATGCTCGGAATTAAATAAAAATAACAATTTTGTTTTCCCTTTGATGTGTCCCTCGTTGGACGGATTCCTTTGTTTGTTTTAAGTTTATTTTATACAAAAGCTTAGGTCTTTTATTTATCGATTGAGGCACTACGAAGTCTGCCGGGTCAGCTAGTTTTTAATAATTTTTTATGTCTGTAAAAATATGACTTTAGACTAATCGAGCTTTTGTTTCTAGGACTGCCGGAATATGGGGTTCCCCCATCGGAGCCGCTTATCGTTCCATCGATTTCTATCCAGCAGTCAACTGGTCCCATCACGGTCACTTCGTCGTACTCTGATGTTACGGTGCGAGGGCCCTCGAAGATGCGAATTAAGGATGTCCAGTGAGACTTAAAAATAATGTTTCTGGAAATTGTTATAAGTCTTGTTTTTCTATCGGGATTTAGATACCTAATAACGTGGGAGACACGACATTAGTGAATTTTGTGCAAAATTCATTTAATAATAAATAAATAAATTAAAGCCCAAGCTATTCAGAAAATATTTTGAAACATATTTCATAAAATAAGGCCCGATCCATAAAGATATTATATTCAATAGTTAAATTTTAGAAAAACAATACAAATTAGCGTCAGATACTAGTCCTCAATAAGTTTTAAGTTTCAATAAACATCATTCTATGTTCTCTATTTAATACAAAACACACGATTTATACTTCGTCAGTTTCGTTGCCATTACTGAGAAAGCTCCCGATGGCAAACTGAATTATTCAATTTCAGGGTGAACTCGGTGCACCGTCGTGTTGTAGCCAAGCTGTATATCCCAGAGCTCAAGATGAAGGGCAATTACAAGCTATCTGGACAGCTCCTCATGTTGCCAATGAATGGAGAAGGACAGTTTACTGCAAAATATGGTAAGGCATCATCGGGGAAGGGTCAAGGGTTAAATTCACCTCATGACACAGTCAAATAAAGTTGCTTTAAGGTTTATAAAGCACGAGTTCCGTGAAGAAATTGTGACGAAAGACGATGACGCTCCAAGCGAGGAGACGGGAATAAGAAAATTTCGTCATCTTCTATTCATACAAGATACTTTGTGTGTGTGTGAATGTTTTTAATAGGGCTGTGCTTTTTTTACTTAGGTGGTTAGACAAGCTCGCGCCCACCTTTTATTAAATGGTTACCGGAGCCCATAGACATCAACAACGTAAATGTCGCCACCACCAGAGAAATACCTTTTGCACTACCCTTCAAACTGGAACGCATTACTGCTTCACGACCCAAATAGGACGCGCGGGCCCGGGGCCACAAATTGGGTTCACAAGATGCTCTACCACTAGTGAGTAGGCCCAAAAATTACTTAACTAAGGTTGTTCATTTCACAGGCGATATTGATGCAACAGTAACAATAATATTAGGCCGTGAACCTCGACCGAACAGCGTAGATGCTCTCACTTGTGACCAGCTCGACGTCAATTTTCACGTGGGCTACGCTTCCATGCAACTTGAAAATTTATTTGGTGGCGACGGAGAACTGAGTGAGTGGAGTATATAGTATTTCATTATTTATTAATTACATTAATTTTTGTTGTTTTCAAAGTATTCTTTTTAGAATGTTCGCTTTGTATCCAATCGTCATTGAAATTGGATTCTCGACGCATGACGTGTAGAATATTCAAAACAAATGTACTGAAATTTCAACGAATTGATTCGATGCTAATTCTTCTTCTTGATCGTGTCACTCTTGACAGAGTGGTCGTGATCGTCATGTAGTGTTGGAGGGGACAATGCATACATAGTATTTTGTTATTAGCTAAATTTGTATAAATATTAAATTAACTTTTTATCTATTATCTTTATGCTTATTCCCTTTGTCTACTTTGGCTGCGGATATTTGAAGTTTACGCTATTGCAATCGAAATGTGATTTCAATTTATCTTACAAATTGAACGAGATAATTCACGTTTTGATAAGATTTACTGCACTAATACTTAATTTACCCATATGGCATCTGCCAGTAAATTTGCTGGGATAATAACGAATGCAATTCTTACAGGTAAAGCAATGAATAAATTTCTTAACGAGAACTGGAAGAAATTATCAGAAGAACTTCAAGTACCGATGGAGGAAGCGCTACGTGATTTCTTGAAGCCGCTGGCAGATCACGCCTTTGCTACTCTCAACGCTGACGACATTTTGCTAACTTAAATGCTACTCTATAAATTCTAATCTTAGACTATTTAGGTGCATCTGTTTTATATGAATCTTTTTCCTACCTATTCCCTGGTAACCTAAGGGACTATTCCAGCTACTCACGGAGAGAGTTTGCTAACACTAACCCTAGAACCCGCAGAATCTATCACCGGATCGGAATCGCGACCCACTGAGAAGATCCGGCGAGAAAATCAGTGGGTTATATCTCATAGACATTCGCATATCGAACTTTTGACCGGTGCTTGAATATCTTAAAATCACCGAGCGAGGATCTGAGGTATCAGACAATCTATGCATCACTAGCCATCCGATGATTTTATTGGAATATGATAACAATTGTGAGTAATTAATGATTTGCGATGAGGAAATATTTGATGAATGAAAATGAAATAGAAGGAGATTCAAATGACAAATAATGTATACTAAGACTCTGTGCAATCCATTTTGGTAGCAGAGCGCATAGTTTATACACTTATAATAAACCATAGATGCACTTCAATGAACACATTTCCTTTGAAGATGTAAGCATTTTTTGACATTACGAATACCTATGTAAAGTAGTTACATTAAAAGTCAAATAATGTCTTGATCAGAGTAAAAGGCGTGGTCTTACTTATATAGAGTTTATTAGATAATACATCACATTCTCGTTTTGGATTAAACCTAATATTATACATTTAAAATTCATTCGTGAACTTAAATAAATAAATCTTATATCTAACTAACGGTGTTTTATTCATTTTAATGTTAATGCTAAAATTAAATGTCATGTCAAATATTTTCGTGGCTCGGCGGTATATCTAAATTTAAAATATTTGTAAACGAAATATTTTAAATTTATATTTATATTGTCTCTTTAAATGTTAAAGTTTTAGAGTCTAAAAAAATCATCAATAAAATTTAAACAACCAAATTTTAAGTAATTGTATGATTCCAGCAGAAATATTCACAGGTTTTTATTATCTCAAAAGATATTTAGGAGACTTACTATTTGCAAACTAAACAATCATTTCCAGTATATTCCAGTGATCTGTAAAATCGATTTCATATCCAGAATATCTATTGCTATTTCTTTAATGACCTTCAGTAAGCTTTGAGGCTCATCTAAGGTTTGAGCCACACGTCTATGGGTATCTTCGTGAAGGCGCCGTTTATGAACGACTGGAAATGCTTGGCGATCGACGCCGAGGCGGCCGGTCGCATTTCCTCGATGATCTCAGCCGCATTGTTGTTCAGGAACTGGTTCATTGCTTCCCCTGAAGTTATTGAATTAAGTTAATGACAGAGAGACTAATTCGCGGTCCACCTTATTTTTCTAGGTTTTTTTTTATTGCCTGCGTAGGCAGACGAGCATACGGCCCACCTGATGGTGAGTGGTTACTGTCGCCCATGGACATCAGCAATGCCAGGGGCAGAGCCAAACCGTTGCCCACGATATAGATATATTATTATGTCGTCTTTTCGCATTAAAACTGTGTAATCGCAAAACTTACTAATTTTACAGGAGAGTGTTATAAAGGCTTAACATGTGATATTTTTATTTTTTATCAGTTACATTATCTATCTTTTAAAGTAAGATAAAATTATGTATTAATTTTGTTAATAGTACTCAAAATATAGGAAAACTAAACAAAAAAACTAAAACTAAACTACTCTCTTTTGACAGGATTTATGAGAAAAATACTGATGATACCAAATGATTCCGCATATTTACCCAATTTCGAATAAATATTTCTGGAAATTCTACTCTTTTAATACGAAAAGACAATGTGTTGATGTGACAACGTCACCTCCTGTCGCTTTGGGGCAAGAATAAGTAAGAGTAATTGGGACCAATAAATTCCTTGCACCAAATATAGACAGAACTTGCTAGAACTTATCTCTGTGAAGGGCCATTTCTAAACGCTGCAGACCAGAAAATGGGTTGGATTATGACCAAAAGTCTTAATGTCAAATGTTTTTCGTTCTTTCAAATAAACATAATGTAAGAAAGTCCCTATGTGGTTCTGCTATGCAAGGTCCGGTGATTGATCCGCACTAAATACAACCGAGTCAAGGTAATAACAAAACGTAACAAATACCATACAGTTTTGAAAGGCGAGTTGCCTTGTTTTTCGTTGGCTTTGTAAGTTGAACACGATATATATTGATAACTTTTTACACGATTTATATTAGCTTCACTTGTATGTATGTTTGTATGTTTGTAACTGACTCCTTTAGACGCGATTTTAACCCACTTTAAACGGCCACATTTCATTCAAACTTTGTAGATTTATCGAGGACCAATGACAATACACTAATTTGATAAGATTATTCCATTATTCAATTTGCAAAATAAGATTTTTGCCAATTTATATAACTTTTATCTATAGTCGATAGGGCAGGAATTGATGTTAAAGTACTTAATAGTTTTAAAAATACGCTTTTATAGAAAATTTAACTAAAAAATTCAAAAATTATAATAGTTTAAAAAAACAAAAAATCACGCTTTATATAAAATTCAATTAAAAAATTGAAAATTAAATTTTAATAAATTTAAATTGAAAATAGTGTAAAAAATTATATGTATATATTTTAATTTAAAAAAAGCGTGGTTGTATATTCATTCGCAAAGCAGTTACTCTTGAGTTGTTAGGTCTCCTTTGGAGGCGCTAGCGAAGCTGTTAGGAAATCTCACCCATTCTGACTGAGCCCTTGTCGCCCACCTGCCCTAGTAAAACAAGAAAGGCCTCCGGTCCACCAGTAATCTTTCAAACATAAAAAGGTGCATTCCCTTTTGACATACATACCTATACGTAGCATACAACGCCGTACATATAAGAATATCATAACAATAATATAGAGTTTACATATTTATATCCATATAATACATTATTGCTGCTAGATGTTTCTAATAATTCGATAAGAAAAACTTTTCTAACCCTTATCTTTGTACGCAATACAAATATAAATATATTAATAATACAGCAGTAGTCTACTTTGTATATTTTCTCTTCATGCATACAACCTCGACTCTAAGCACGAGCCAATATACATAATTCCTACTAAATAGTAGGATTAATAGGATTCAGAACGTATTAGTTATGAGTTAATACAGTGTGAACAATGACGTCACTGTTCAATGTGTTGCGTTACTAGCACCAGGACGCTTTCAATTTATTCCAGTAAATAAATAACTGGGAACAAATCATGCACGGTCATCCGGCCCCAAATTAGGATTCCCTGTGTACCAGAAACTGACATGCTTACTCATATATACGTTTGAATATATACATATCCCACATACGGTGCGATAACGTCACTTATGTAAATGATGTAAATTTTTCAGGAGGAACGTTGGAAAATTCAACATTTTATTATATAATTCTTATATAGTTCTGAGAGGCTATAGAAATAAAATGATAGTATTTAAACTACAACTTTAAACTTCATCAGTAAAAGCGATACTTAAGACCTTAGAACTTATATCTCAAGGTGGGTGGCGAATTCACGTTGTAAATGTCTATGGGCTCCAGTAACCACTTAACACCAGGTGGGCTGTGAGCTCGTCTACCCATCTAGCAATAAAATAAAAGAGTACATCTCGCTCGTCTCACTCCTCCTCCTTCAGTCGATCGCTCATTGCTGAGCATCGTGATGCGCCCGCCTGTGACCTTTTTTTGTAATTTGTAGCCACTTATGTCGGTCGGTCTGTGGCACAGTGAAGTGCGTGGCTCAGTCTCATGTCCAGACACTCAGACACTTGGTCACTCCATCTTTTTCGGCTACGACCTCTGGATCGTCTTCCATCCACTTTACCCGTCACTATGAGTCTCTCCAGGTTGTCAGAGGGTTTTCTTGCTATATGACCAAAGTATTGGAGCACTCTATATAGACATTTGGTNCCATCCATAGCGTGCTCAAGATGATACAAATCAGCGCAATATTCACTCCATCTCTCTGCAACTTTATCGATCTCCGTGATGATTTCCCCATCTCTATTCTCAATTGCCCACGACTGAGCGTTAAACTGTCGTGTTAATAGTCTTACTTTTTTAAAAAGATCCGCTGTTTGATATTTTTGCGCGTGTTGTTGTACTTCTGCACAAATACTAGTGAAGAAGCAGTTTTTGTCCTTCCTACAAAGTCTTTGGATGTCTTTGCACAAACTTCTGTATGTTGCCTTTTCGGCGGGTGTTGTAAGACCATTTGCTTTGAGTTTCCTTCTTTCATCAATGACGGTCCAAGTATCCTCACTGATCCAGCCTCTCATTTTACCTTGTGGTTTCCGTCTCACTAATAACTATTAAAAAATGTATTTCCTCATACTCAATTCAATGTTAACAAAAATTGCATAAGTGACTTTATAGTACTGTATGTGCGATATACAGAGAATAAAGAGCAAAAAAGCTGTTCATCAAACGATTTTTTACCCGATGTGGGAATCGAACCTACGACCCTAGACGCAACAGTCAGGGCCGCCAACTACTGCATTCGAAATCAGTCCAAAAGATAAATTAAAATTTTAACACATTTAAATTTTCTTATTAATGACTAGCCGTACTCGCCCGCTTCGCTGGGCATTTAAAATTATCATTATTATTTATTGTCATTATTATTGGGGAGTCCAACACTCATATAAATATTAGTCTATCCATTAAGTATATTTATTTTCTACATGGATATCAAGTTTCAAGTCAATCGGATGCATGGTTCAGTAGTTATAATGGAACATCCGTAAAAACCACTGTATATTTATATATTAGTATAGATTGACTCGCTCTTACATAAAACCGTCAATAATCCACTCACCAATAACACTTCCGTGGTTGACGGTGTCTTTCACTTTGAATCTCGAATTCCTCAGTTTGAAATCAACCAGCAATCTGTCGGCCGTCATGTATCTCACGTTGTCCCTCTCAACCTCTTTACCGAAGATCTTCGCTATGGCCGCTACATCAACTGAAATTAATATCGAAAACCGTTTCAGATAGGTCAAAATATATATAAGAACGACTTCCACGATGTAGGAATAACGCGGTGGATTACTGTCCATTTTTCTGAAGAAAATAATTTAGCTTTTACGTTTCATTTCACGCAGAATATAGCAACAGTATCTTGAGGTCTGGCAGTTACAGTATAATGAAATAGTACAGAGACATTTAAAAATAAAAACGCGAGATTAAACCATAACAATAATTTTAATTACGGCTCTACGGCTCGTGAAAACTGATGAGAATAGTATAATGTTCTAGATAAATTAAGATCATCAAATTAAATTAGGCCAAATTTCCTTTGAAGTTTTAGAGTTACGGTTTAAAACAAATATCGACCAAAAGACATCATTTTAATAGAATCAAAGGCATCGGAACCAGTAAGAGGTGCATTCCAGAGAGATGGCATTTAAAAAAAAAACGAGTTTAAATTCTGCAATACTTACTAAACGCAGCCCAAAAGTCTCCACGTGATCTAACCGGGAAGAGGAGAACTTGTCCCGACACCTCGTAACGACCTGTGATCTCGATGCGAGGTAGAACCAGCCCGAGGTCAATGCGCAACTTCTTCAAATCCGACCTGGAATATAAGTAACAATAAGTACCTTCCTGATTATAATTTTACCCCGGCTCCCTCGCAATTCACTACCGGAGTCTTCAATGATGTGTGAAATCAGTCATACGAGTGCCAAAGGACAAAACCCCTCTTATTGAACTTTAGTACACTGAGTTTCTCGCCGGATCTTTTCAGTGTGTCGCGATTCCAATCCGATGGTAGATTATACGAAGCACTGCTCTTGCTAGAGCTCGCTACCAGTCCGGTCGAAGCTGGAATAGATCCTAAGGCTATCATCGAATAGGTAGGGGAAAAATTCAACTGTAGTTCTCCAGCGCTGTGACATTATGGTGTTCAATCGAAAATGAAACAAAAATTATTCTACATTCTACGCCTGTCATGCAAGTTTCACTATCTCACTCTAATGCGACCACTAGAGCAAGATGGGCGTTCCATTATTTCTATCACTGAAGTTTCAAATGCTTTACCATTTTCATGGTCACTGAAGACCGCACGTATGGAAACATAATTACATAAAACGTAACTATACTGAGACCTTAAAACTTATATCTCAAGGTGGGTGGCGCATTTACGTTGTAGATGTCTATAGGCTCCACTAACCACTTAACACCAGATGGGCTGTGAGGTCGTCCATCCATTAAAACATTAAAAAAGTAAGGAAGTCGTCGTGGTCTAAATGATAAGACGTCCGGAGCATTCGTGTTGAAGCGATGCACCGGTGTTCGAATCCCGCAGGCGGGTACCAATTTTTCTAATGAAATACGTACTCAACAAATGTTCACGGTTGACTTCCACGGTGAAGGAATAACATCGTGTAATAAAAGTGAAACCCGCAAAATTATAATTTGCGTAATTACTGGTGGTAGGACCTGTTGTGAGTCCGCGCGGGTAGGTACCACCGCCCTGCCTATTTCTGCCGTGAAGCAGTAATGCGTTTCGGTTTGAAGGGTGGGGCAGCCGTTGTAACTATACTGAGACCTTACAANGTAGGTACCACCGCCCTGCCTATTTCTGCCGTGAAGCAGTAATGCGTTTCGGTTTGAAGGGTGGGGCAGCCGTTGTAACTATACTGAGACCTTACAACTTATATCTCAAGGTGGGTGGCGCATTTACGTTGTAGATGTCTATGGGCTCCAGTAACCACTTAACACCAGGTGGGCTGTGAGCTCGTCCAACCATCTAAGCAATAAAATAAAAAAAAGGAATAAAAAGGCCAGATTACGATGGAAATTTGTATATATTGTTTTTCATTTTGAATACCTTTTATAACGTATAGAATAATTTACGCAGCTTTCACACTGCCTCGAGTCGTCGATAAAGACAACGTGAAGACAACGGATGGCATTTTATTAAAGCTCATAACACATTCTTCATTCTGATACGCCATTACTCCGGGTATTGTGAAACAAAAATGTATAGTGATTGTCCATCCGGGCGGTGCTCAATGTGTATTGTAAGCAAAAGTGACAGCCCGAGTTGATTGTGAAAACGTTTTGCAAGTGTGCCTTTTAACTGCGAACTTTGGTGGTTACTAAATAGTAATTTTTGACGTTGTGCTTGCAATACCGATGTCTCACCTAGACTGACCCCGTTTACACCGTGAATACTCGTGATTCACTGGGATTTCCTATCTAAAGCCGTATTACTGGTATCTCAAAACGCTATTACAAAAACCACGCGGTGTTTGAAGACGAAGAGTAGATGAGGAGACCGTTCAGAATGACTGTTCAACTGATTCCAAGACTTGCAATATCCTCTAAATAGTAATAAAATAAGATCTACCTAACTAGAAGAACTAAAGATCATGGGATTGCTATAATAATAATATAATAATAAAACATTTATTTCAGAAAAAATCCATAAAATAATAATAATACAATAGTCAGCACACAAACAGTTCAACAATACAAATAGAAAATGAACAATATACTAATTCAATTAATTAAATATACAAAGGAAATGAATTAGAAACACATAATTATATGAATACAGTAGTAACCACTCTATATCAATATTAGCTATCATTATGTCAATCAGTTAATTAATTTGGAGAAAAAATTAAATAAAAAGAAAATCATACACATTTCATAATGAGGAGTAAAATAATAATAAGGATATGTCAGTCTTGTCCGGTAATTATACACATCCATTTATGTTGGATCGGACAATCAGCGCGAGAAGCAATCATCCCGAGGATGCCATTACTACTGTCTCTCACTCGTCTTAAAAAAGAGGCAACCTTTTTTCGGATTATAGCTATGACGATAGTTTTTTTTTTTTATATCGCTATAACCTAGGCTCACGGCTCACCTGTTAAGTGGTTACTGGAACCTATAGGCAGGGCAAAGTGAATGTCGCCACATACCTTCCTAATAAAAAAATTAAAAACTCATCTGATAAACCGCAACAATAGTTCAACTCTTAGTAAAAAAAGTTCGCATGCCCTAATAGAAATTAAAAAACTACTTTAAACAGCTTGAAACAATCGTAAAAACGGCAATTGATGCAAAATTATAATCGAGTTTACTTAGTCATTTCGATCGAGATTTTTCTCTAGTGTCGCGCTTAAACATTGCCATCACTCGGTACGCAAGTTCATCTATATCTCGACTCATTGAGAGGCATTTACAATGGAAAGAATCGAATTAAACACATCGAGTATCATCGAGTTAGTATTACTACTTTCTTATTTTCCATTTTTATTCTCCTCCTGATTTCTATCTTGATTGCTAGGTCAGGGTTTCTGTGTGTGGGTGTGTACTATTTATTAATGATAATCTTCTGGTCACCGTCCTCGCCGAACGCGGCACTTGCAACGCAGGGCTCGACGAGCAAATGAACCCATAAACACAGCCCACTGACTTTCTCGCAGGATCTTCTCAGTAGGTCGCGTTTCCGATCCGGTGGTAGATTCTACGAAGCACTACTCTTGGTAGGGTCAGTGTTAATAACACTTCCGGTGTGAGCCCCGAGAGCTCACCTAGAGTAAAGCTGAAATAGCCTCTCAAGGCTATCAGCATAGATAGGGAAAAAATATAGTCAAAAATAAAATCTACCTGATCTTGGTCACGGTGTAATTACTGGGTCCTATTACAGTAATGTTGCTGAACGCAGCCGTTACCCTGACTGGCCCGGCAGAGTTTTCCATCACCAGCCGATCAATAAAGAGAGGTTCCACCGGAGGAAGCTCCAGATCCGGCAGGCCCTTTGCCAGGTACGGACGGAGGTGGTTGAAAGAGTTCTTGATGCAATTATCGAGTTGTGGATCGCTTCGTGTACACGGTAGAATGTATTCCGCTGAAATACAAAAAAGAATAAATGAGTTCTATGTTAAAAAAAAAGAAATTAAATTATGTGATGGTGTATTTGTGATTTAAGAATAAAAATTTAATTGCAGTCTTAAAGACTGTTAAATAAGGAAATAGATATTCTCCGAGGAAATGACTCGATTTTATACTATACTGTTAACGAATTTAAATTTATTTGACCGTTATTTGATTCACGGTGAAGGAATAACATCGTGTAATAAAACTCAAGCCCGCAAATTTATAATTTGCGTAATTACTGGTGGTAGGACCTCTTGTGAGTCCGCATGGGTAGGTACCATCACCCAGCCTATTTCTGCCGTGAGCCTATTTCTGCCGTGAAGCAGTAATGCGTTTCGGTTTGAAGGGTGGGGCAGCCGTTGTAATTATACTGAGACCTTAGAACTTATATCCCAAGGTGGGTGGGGCAATTACGTTATAGATATCTAAGGGGTCCGGTAACTACTTAACAACAAGTGGGCTGTGAGCTCGTCCACCCATCTAAGCAATACAAAAAAAAATAAGATATTTAAAATTTAAATACAAGGCAGCGTAATTAGCTCTACAGTCCCTTATTGGTTTTGGTCCCGCAAAATAAAATAAATCGGTTTGAACTCTTTCTGAAGATCATAGTTATAGTACAATACAAATACAATACACAAGTTATTTTCACAAAATTACAGTATCATTAGACTTAAATTGTCTTGAAAAACATTCAAACGTTAAGTGGTCACTAAAATTTGACCTCTCAAATTCTTTAAAGCGTGTTTGCTGATATCTTAATGTCCCCCGTCCATTGTTTTTGTGGAACCACCTCGGGCTATACAAACAATCGGTTCTTTGAGATACGACCTCGCGTTTGTATAGCGATACACACAGTTTTGCATACAGATAGCTGTTTTAAAGTTTAACTCGACTCCGTGAATACGGCTGTGTATCTTACATTATAGGCATCAAGTTTTGTCCGTCGGAAAAATTATTTTCACATGACCATCAAATTTCAAAATGCTAGAAGAGTCATCAATTTGAAAAGAGGGTCTTCTTTGATAGACAAACATGTCATTTCGGATCCTCCCGATCCATTAACGGTGCTTTTAGCTACCACAAGCAACGGTCACCATTCTCGTCGAACCCGTCGCTTGCGTCAAAGGGCTCGGCGAGTAAATTAATCACAGATACAGCCCACTGAGTTTCTCGCCGGATCTTCCCAGTGGGTCGCGTTTCCGATCCGGTGGTAGATTTGTGACTGGCTAGTGTTAGTGACGTCCTCAGATTAGAGCCCCGTGAGTTCACCTACTCGCCCGCTGGCATAGCCTCCTAAGCTACCAGCTAAGGTAGGATTTTTTTTTATCAATAGCTTAAGTATAAATCTTCAGCGGACCGGAAATTTTATTCAATTCAGAAACTGATTAATACATACTAGCGATATATTGTATTATACGCCCGCTTTGTTAGGAATCGTCTTTCTCTATTATTCTGTTACGTGATAATGCTAGACGTTAGCGATACTTTGAGAAAATTACGACACCCATTTGAACAGAACTTTCAAACTAAAAAAGTGAATTTTCTAAACATTCCCGGAGCAGTAGGGTAATAAAATACTTCCTAAACATACGTAAGATAGAGGATAATCTACTCGACATGAAAACTTTTTTCGTTTATTAACAATAATATAATTAGCAGACCCGCCTTTGCGTCACAGAAGTCCGAGCACACGTGTAGTGTAGTAGCAAAATTTGTTCATATTAAGAGTTTTACAACTTGTCTACATCTTGCCTTAAATCCGTTATGTTCATGCTATTATTGCTTCTATAGAATAGGGTGTTTCAATAAAACAAATTGCCCCGAAATTAAAGAATATTCCGTGAGACATTGCAAATAATAAACAAAAAATTAACGTCGGTTTGTAATGAGCACGTCAAATTTAATCTCGCCATCACAAAACATTTCATAGCAAACAAAAAAAAAACAAAAAAAAAACCTTTGCAATGAGCCCGTCACAGAACATTTCACAAGACAAAGTAAACAAGGCATTAAGGTGCGTTTCTGTCTTACATAACCGGCGAAGTGTACCAGTAGGTGGCAACAACCGGTCACCGGTGACAAGGTGACGCAAAGATCGATGACCGACACACTCGGGAATTTCGGCAAAAAGTGAAATTTTCCGAAACGGCCAAGGACGAGTTCAGTGGGACGAATTATTAAGCGTGCTAATCACGTGTGAGAACGACACTTAATAGTTCCAAATTTAATACGGCCTCGTAACTAAACCGCGTTATTAGATTTGTGCAATACTGACCTAGTTCAGTATTGTAATGGGAAGTATGTTTATGTATGCTTTTTTATTTAATAACAATCTCATGCTAACAAATTACAAAAGACTTGTGAATGACAATTCTTCATGAATGTAATTCTGATGGTCGTCTTTTGTTACATCTACATTTCGGACGTTTACCGGTGGTAGGTAAAGTATCTATTACTGGTAGCAGGGCATCTTGTGAGTCCGCGAAGGTACCACCACCACTCTGCCTATTTCTGCCTAATGGGATGGGATTATTGTAAAAACAGAGACTTAGAACTCATATCTCAAGGTGGGCGGCGGCATTTACGTTGTGGATGTCTATGAGCTCCGGTAACCACTTAACACCAAGTTGGATGTGAGATTGTCCAAGCATCTAAGCAATAAAAAAAGGCAATTAGAAAGTTATAAGAAGAAGAAGAGGTTATAAGACATAGTTGAATGTACTACAGGCAGATAAAAAGGAAGCTGTAATATGCGTAATTAATAGAGTCTTAAAAAGGCCGGGTAGTTGGATTTTCGCACTCGCAAAGCTATACAGCTTTTGCTTAAAATTCTCCGATCTCACCACTAAATATTACTTAAACAAGGAGCGTCGCGCTGTGTTTGACATCAATCTGCAAAACATAAAGCAAATAGATTGTATAATTTAAATATTCGAAATCTATGCTGAACTTGAACGAGTCAATAATCTTCTAAATCGGTCTTTGTACAAGGTCATCCGCAGGTTATATAAGATAAACGTTATGTAAAACTATTGCGACGACCTAAAAAAAAGCTTTCATAATATCTACGCGTATTCTTGAAGGGCGCTTAGCGTGCATTTTCATCATCAACTAATTATTTTAATTGTGTACCCAACTTTGTGTTGCTGTTTGAAAAAAAATTGTGTGGAGTTTTTAGTACACAATACGGTACAAATTAATGTGAACTATTCAAACTGTTTTTACTCTCGATACTATTCTCTTGTTACTCGTATTTAAGTTAACTAGAGGTCCCGCAGTAGTCGAAATTCGACTATAATTAATTGGAATTGTAAGCTTGTACACTATTATGATTGTATTTTATACTTCTATAATCACAAATTTCGCCAAGACTACACTATAAAAAATATTAACAAAGACAAACAATATTTAATCTCAATTTGACAACAGGCGTCAAGAACAAAAGTTTGACAATAAATAGTATGCATGCGTGTGTGCGTTAAATACATGGTATGTGGTGTAATGTTTTCTTTATTGATTTAATGTATCTTTTATGCATTATTTTAAAAAAATATTAGCATTGTGCACTTCTTCTCTATATTCTCTATAAGTGTGGAAAATTTCATACTCCTACGTCCGTGCAATTTTCGTAAAAAGGGATACAAAGTTTTTGCTTCACGTATTAATATATAGATAGATACTGTTGTTGTGTATCACTTATTTCGAAACTGTCCTATGTACACGACCTTTGTGAAACAATAGTGCTGTTATATCACTAAGCAGGGGCTCATAAAAACAATTCCAAGAATTGACTGGCATTCGATTACATGTAATGATTGTTGTCTTTCGTAAGATCACTTGCCTCATCTGGGGTGTACCTACATTACAAACAAGAGCAAAGAGGAGTTGATCTATTTGTTGTAATTAAATAAGAGTATTGCAAGAGCCTTACGCAGTTTTTTTGTTGATTATCAAAGCGTTTTGGCCTAATGGGCAAACTGCCTTGTGCTCGCGTATCGATTAATGCGACTGAACGTTATTAAAACATTTAAGCCGATACCATTTTTTCAAGTAAATTTGAAACTAATAAGGATGAATGTCTTCCACAATGAAGGACTTTTCTAAGTACTTTGCGTAGTTAATGGTGATTAGATGTATTGAGACGTATTTCTGTCATAAAACCGTCATGGGTGTTGGTTTGAATGGTGAGATAGCTGTCATACAACTTAATTGTGACTTATACTTTATTTTGTAAGGATAGCCTTCATGATCAAATCTTTATGGGTTTCAATAGCCACTTGAGACAAGGTAGACGGTGAGGTTGCCTGCACATCTAACTTCCGCATATAAATCTAATAAGCAAAACTTTAGCAATTTAAAACGAAAAAGTTATTTTTTTGGCGAAATAATTAATACTGAACAGTAGTCAGCATTCGTTGGCAGTCAACAGATTTAACTTTTCACAAAAGTTTTCCAAGTCCTTATTTGAGCGCGAACCGTCGATAAATCGACATACATAAAATACAGAGCGTCGGAATACCGACTATTTGCGCAATTTGATTATAGGTATTAGGTATCGACCTGTGCTAAAGTGTCTTAGCGCGTGCATGTACATATAACGTTTTTAATAAATTTATAACATTTATAAGTAACCATTTCAAATTATTTTTCTGTGAATTTAGCATTGATTTTTGTATTATTTTAAGTTCATGTTTTTCTATGATACTTTTTCAAAAATCCTTATATAATTTATGCAAAATATGTAAAAATAAAAGTAGACATTTGAAGGCGGACAATTAGATGTAGATAATAGCTAAATAAATGTATTTCATTAAAGAATATCAGTTTATTAGTCTGAGGCTGCTCACTGATTTCAGTTTTCTTTACTGAATGTCTAATAGAGGGTCAGTATTTTACGAAGTTAGCGGTGAGTATTTCACAAATTGATGCAACTTAAAACCACTACCCGAATTGAATTCGAGACGCACT